AGTTTTGGAGTTGTAGTTCACCTACATCCAGAGAGCACTGTGGACTCAAACAATGATCGATCTGGACCAAACATGACACAAATACTCCATATGCCCAAATGTGAACATTGGTGGAGTTTGGGAGATAGATCCAGCAACTACAACTCCCAAATGGTACGGTCTATTTTCCTCCTTCTTGGCAGGGGGTTGGACTGGATGGCCCATGAGGTCTCTTCCAACTCTTTGATTCTTTGATTCTATGATTCTATCTTGACATTTGGGAGTTGTAGTTACTGGGATTTATAGTTCGCCTATAATCAAAGAGCATTCTGAACCCCACCAACGATAGAATTGGGCCAAACTTCCCACGCAGAACCCCCATGACCATCAGAAAATACTGTGTTTTCTGGTGGTCTTTGGTGACCTCTCTGACACCACCTTGTGACCCCCCCCCCCCCACCAGAGGTCCGGACCCCCAGGTTGAGAAACGCTGCCATAGTGTCATGGAGAATCTCTCCCTGCTTATTCCTCATAGAGAACATTTGATTTGATGGTGCATGAGGCTCGAATCAATATGATTTTGTTCTGAGTCTCCTTCTGCTTTTAGTCCTTGGAGGATAAAGGAAGTCCTCTGTTGACTCTTCTTGATGGCCTGGCATGGAAAGGGAGATGACAAAAGAGTGGCCACAAGACTGGAAATTTGTCATGGCCTTTATATTTGCATTTTGGTGTAATAGGATTGATTGGAAAGGAGATAAAAGGCACTCTGCTTTTGTTTGCCTTTGGGACATGATGCAAGGTGAAAGTTAGATAGATAGAGGTGTTTGGCTATTGGGTTTAAATGCAATTGATCTGGAACAAGCATGGGTAAACTTTCTAACTTGGAGGCCGCATGCTAGCACACCCTGCTAATAGGACTGGCTGCCCGGCAATGGAAGGAAGGAGAGAAGGAAGGAAGGAAAGGGAGGAACGGAAGGAGGGAAAGGATGGAGGGGGTAAGGAGGAAGGAAAGGCAAAGGGAAAGAACGGACAAAGGTGTGTAATGGAAGGAGGAAGGAAAGAGACAGAAGAAAGGATGGAGGGAATAAGAGGGAGGGAGGAAAGATGGAAATAAGAAAGGGTGTAAGAAGAAAGAGGGAGGGAGGAAAGACAAAAAGAAGGAAGGAGAAAGAGGGAAGGAGGGAGGAAAGAGACGGAAGAAAGGATGGAAGGTGAAAGAGGGGGAAAGGAGGGAGGTAAAGAGGAAGGAAAGAGAGAAGGAAGAAAAGGCAAAGGGAAAGGACGGACAAAAGTGTGTAAGGGAAGGAGGAAGGAAAGAGAGACGGAAGRAAGGATGGAAGGAGAAAGAGGGAGGGAGAAAAAATGGAAGGAYGAAAGGATAGAAGAAGAAAAAGGGAGGGAGGAAAGAGAGAAGGTAGGAAAGACGAAAAAGAAGGAAGGAGAAAGAGGGAAGGAGGGAGGAAAGAGAGACAGAAGAAAGGATGGAAGGCGAAAGAGGGGGAAAGGAGGGAGGTAAGGAGGAAGGAAAGAGAGAAGAAAGAAAAGGGAAAGGGAAAGGACAGACAAAAGTGTGTAAGGGAAGGAGGAAGGAAAGAGAGACGGAAGAAAGGATGGAAGGAGAAAGAGGGAGGGAGGAAAGATGGAAATAAGAAAGGGTGTAAGAAGAAAGAGGGAGRGAGGAAAGACAAAAAGAAGGAGAAAGAGGGAGGGAGGAAGATGGAAGGAAGGAYGAAAGGGTGGAAGGAGAAAGAGGGAGGAAAGAGAGAATGTTGGAAAGACAAAAAAGAAGGAAGGAGAAAAAAGGAGGGAGGAAAGAAGGAAGGAAGGACAAAAGGGTGGAAGGTGAAAGAAGGAGGGAAAGAGGAAGGAAAAAGAGTTGGAAGGACAGACAAAAGGGAAGGAAGGAGAACGAGGGAAAGATGAAAGGGTGGAAACACAAGACCCCACAATCCTTGTCCTCTTAGATTAATGGGAATAGATGTCACAGAGCTGGGTGCTGGAAGACTGGCCCATCCCATAACTTGTGAGCTTCTTAGCTTGAATCTGTTTCAGCTTGCTTTTTTTTTTTGATCTTGTGTTTCAAACAGGTGAGACTCAACAAATGCTGCCCTTCAGATATTGCACTTCAGTTCCTAGCATCCTTCTGCAGGGAATTCTGTGAGCTTCAGTCCAGGAACACATGACCTGCACGAGTCCTCCCCAGTTTCAAACATTCTTAGTTTATTGTGTGTGTTTTTTAAAAAAAATTCAATCCAATATGCAAAATAGGTTTATAAATAAAGCAGCGGTGAGTCTATAAAAAGATCGGCTGCAAGGGCAATCAATCCGGGAGGTATTTTGACCTGACTTTCGGAAGGGATCAATAAGGCTTGCATCCCGTCCAAATACGAGCAACAAGACTCTGTAGCTGCGTCAAAAGCTATAAAAAGCAAGGTTTTGAAGGAAATGAAGCCTTTGAGAGAGAGAGAGAGCCTCCTCTTTGGCATCTGCCTTCCTTTGGACAGATAAGGGGTCACTGAGAAGCCCATTATCCCTGGTAGTATCACCCAGCAATGGATGGATGTGTGGATAGATGGATAGATAGATGACTGATAGATAGAGAGATAGATAAATAAATAGATAGGATGACTACGATAGGATAAAGGAATAAGATAGGATAAGATGGTAGAGCAGCGGTTCTCAGCCTGGGGGTCGCGGCCCCCAGAGGGGTCGATTGGCCATTTCCAAGGGGTTGCAACGCCACCTCCTTTGGCCCCGCCCCCTCAGCCTCCCTGCAATTGCTGCCGGGCCCCCAGGGGCAACGCAGGAGGGCCCAGGCCCGGCGGGGAGGCAAATCTGGCAGCAAGGAGGAAGAAGAGGAGGCTATGCCCCCGCGGCAAAGCCTGTACCTCCATTTGGAGGCACATGCTGGCAGAACGCTGAATAAGCAGAAATGTTGGATAATGAGGGATGAAGGAAAAGACTGTTAAACATCAAATTACGTTATGATTTTACAAATTAAGCACCAAAACATCATGTTTCACAACAAATCAACAGAAAAAGTTCAATACGCGGTAACGTTATGTAGTAATTATTGTATATACGAATTTAGCACCAAAACATCACAATGTATTGAAATTGCTCTGGATCCGGGCAGGAGGCAGATTGTGTTGGATAATACAGAATGTTGGATGAGCGAACGTTGGATAAGCAAGACTGCTGTAGATATGGATGGATTGATAGATAGATAGGATTGATAGAGTAATAGATAGAATGGATGGATGGGTAGATGGAGTGGATAGAGAGGATGAATGGAATGGATAAATGGATAGATTGTATAGATTGATAGGCTAGATGGATGGAAGATAGATAGACAGACAGACAGGATGGGTAGATGAATAGATAAATAGAATGGATGGATGGATAGGTAGATAGCATGGATGAATAGAACGATAAATGGAATAGATATAGATAGGATGGAATGGATAAATTGATAGGATTGATTGATGGACGGACAGACAGACAGACTGACTGATAGAAAGATAGAATGGATAGACAGATAGATGGACAGGTGTCCCTCCACTTTTGCAGCAATCAAAGGCACAAGCACCACTCCATTAATATTAATTTCCAAGCCAAAAACATCAAACACAGGTTTAATTTGTCAGTTCCACATTGTAGTTAGATGTTAAAAGTGTCGCCTTCTGATCAAATGTTGACAGCTCGGCATCTGTGCTTGCAAAGTGCATTTCTTGAGTGTGTGTGAATAAATGCCAGAGCCCTGTACAGTAGTTGCTGGAAGTTACTTCTCACAAGGTTCAGGGAATGCTACAGTCTGTTAGAAAGTACAGTAGAGTCTCGCTTATCCGTCCTTCACTCATCCAATGTTCTGTATTATCTAACACAGTCTCCCTCCTGCCCAGATCAATACATTGCGATGTTTTGGTTTTAAATTTGCAAGTGTAGTAACGGTGAGGCCGCGGACCATATTTTAGTTCTTGCGGACTACTGGTAGTCCACGGACCACAGGTTGGGAACCACTGCTCTATATTGATCTAACCATTTCATCTGCTTTCTGCTCTTCCCTGCTGTCATATTTTCTGCCAAGGCTTCTGGTTGTTGTGCCAAACATCTGTGTTTTGAACTCTCCTGCCCTGGAGGACAACAGGGAGGGATGGCTGCTGATTGCTTTCTGGACTGTTAAGAGGTTTTACATTGTTTTGAGTGGCTTTGTGTTTTTATCTGACCTTGCAACGCCTTGTGTTTTCTTTTTTCCTTTCCAACAGGTCGCCAACCAAAGTCAGAGTGCCCTCTGTACCAAAGGTACGTCTCTTCGTGTCAATGTTTGTCCCAGGCAAGCAGCTGGCCTGATCCTAAGGGGCGGGGGGCGGGGGGGTTCCTGYCTTTGAAAAGCTAAGATAAAGGATACTCAATTGATGCTTAATGCAAACTAGATGAACATCAGTTGTTAAGCAGTAATTTTATTTATTTATTGTGTCAGAAGCGAGTTGAAGGCACAGTTATAATGCATTTAAAACACAAAGTACWAAATCTATATAAATAAAAATGTAATGTTCGTTTGTGGGATTAGCATAGCTCAAAAACAACTGGAGGAATTAACACCAAATTTGGAYACAATACACGTATCAGGCCAACAAGTGACTATCACTCATAAAAACACTGAAAAACACAGCAGAAGATACTTAAAAAGCCAAAAAAAAATACATTACAACGCATGCAAAAAACCATATATATGTGTGTGTGTGTGTGTACACACACACACATACACACCGTATATACTCGAATATAAGCCGACTCGAATATAAGCCAAGTCACCCAATTTTACCACAAAAAACTGGGAAAAAGTATTGACTCGAGAATAAGYTGAGGGTGGGAAATGCAGCAGCTACTAGTAAATGTCAAAATAAAAATAGATACCAACAAAATTATATTAATTTAGGCATCAGTAGGTTAAATGTTTTTGAATATTTACATAAAACTATAATTCAAGATAAGACTGTTCAACTCTGATTAAATCATTATTCTAACCTTCTTCAATGTAAATATGCTTACATATTCTTCCAATAATAATAGAGTAAAATAATAATAATAATAATGAATAAAATAATGAATGTAGTAATAGCAATCCAGTAAAACAATACATGTAACAATAACAATAATAGAGTAAAATAATAAATGTAATAATAACAACAACAAAGTAAAATAATATATAATCTTGACTCGAGTATAAGCCGGGGGAGACGTTTTCACCCTTAAAAAAGGACTGAAAAACTAGGCTTATACTTGAGTATATACAGTATATATGCATAAACACATGTATATACACATATACACAAATATATACACACACACATATATAAACACACACACAAAACACATATACACAGACTGGGCCACAGCAACGCATGGCAGGGGACAGCTAGTCTATATAAATAAAAATGTCATGTTCGTTTGTGGGATTAACAGAACTCAAAACCACACCAAATTTGGACACAATAGACCTATCAGGCCAACGAGTAACCATCACGCATAAAACACTGAAAAACACAGCAGAAGAGACTTTAAAAGCCAAAAAATAAAGAATACATTACAACGCTTGCACAAAACCACATATATACACATATACACAAATACATACACACACAAAACACATATACACAGACTGGGCCACTGCAACGTGTGGCAGGGGACAGCTAGTGTATACTAAATGTCCTTTCCCAAGAAACTGGCCACTTGGAGTACTTAAGCGATCCCTCGTTGTCCGAGGATGATGATCTTCCAGGGTCAGTGTACAGTATGCGGTGGATCAGTAGGTGACTCTGGAGCCTTATGCTTGGTCTGCATCTTCTGCAGTGAGGGCATTGGTTTCCAGGTGGAAAGTGGTCCCGATTGGGGTTGGCTCGACGCGCCTTCCTCTTGGCACGTTTCTCTCTTTCGCCCTCCATTCGTGCCTCTTCAAATTCTACAGCACTGCTGGTCACAGCTGACCTGACTTGGAGTGCCTCTGGCGTCACTGTAAAGAGGTCCTCCATTGTGCATGTGGCAGGGCTCAGACCGCATTGAAGTGGGTGGTCTGTGGTTTGCTCTTCTCCACACTCACATGTTGTGTACTCCACTTTGTAGCCCCATTTCTTAAGGTTGGCTCTGCATCTCATGGTGCCAGAGCACAGCCTGTTCAGCGCTTTCCAAGCCGAGTCTTCAGTGTGTCCAGGGCAGAGTCTCTCATCCGGTCTCAGCCATTGATTGAGGTTCTGGATTTTTGCCTGCCACTTTTGGACTCTTGCTTGCTGAGGTGTTCCTGTGAGTATCTCTGTAGATCTTAGGAAGCTATTTCTTGATTTAAGGCATTGTCTTGCTTGCTGATATCCAAACAGGGGATGGGCCGGAGATGTCTCTGCCTTGGTCCTTTCATTATTGGCTGCTACTTCCTTGTTAAGCAGTTCAAAGTAGACCAAACTTTTTAGGATATAAGATTGTATTTCTGGAGACTTGTTTTTCCTCCTCTGGGTCCTATTTAGTGCCTATAGTTTACAAAATCCCTTTTACCCCCCTTTCGGGAGCCGCATTGCCTCCAGCGTGACTCTGGACTCAATGCCTGTCATAACTTGAGCAGATTCCGGCTTCTCTTCAACTGTCTTCAATTGCATCTTTTTTTTCTTCCTCGTCTTCCTACTCCCCAAAGGTAGAGCATTTGCTTCCAAAAGCCTGAGATGATATGGAAGCGGAGGGCTAAAGTTAGCCTGCGGAGGCAGCACCATCGGTGCTTCCCACGCGAGGCATAATTATCATGCTGTCTCCGCGATTGAATGAGCGCAGCTGAATCTCTCCCATTAAGTAGGGCAGGAGGTGGTCGGCGTTGGAAGGGAAGGGCGGGGAGGAGAAAGGCCCAGGTCTGCTTCCATGCAAAGGCCGGCCAATGTACTCTGCACTCCTCTCAAGCCAGAAAGGTGGCTTTGCTTTTGCCTCAATGCTGCTCCAGCAACAGAAGATGTACCTTGGAGAGGAGAGGAGCCATGGGTTAAACCCTTGTGCCAGCAGGACTGAGGACCGACGGGTCAGAGATTCAAATCCGGAGAGAGCACGGATGAGCTCCCTCTGTCAGCTCCAGCCTCCCACAAGGATGGTAAAACATCAAAACCTCCGGGTGTCCCCTGGGCAACGTCCTTGTAAACAGCCAATACTCTCACGCCAGAAGCAACTTGCAGTTTCTCAAGTCGCTCCTGACATGAAAAAACAAATCCAAAAATGGCTCACATCAGAATCAAATACCGTATTTTATCAATTCTAAGACACTGATTGTCAGAAGCTTGCTAATTTTAGTATTTACTGTATATACTCGAGTATAAGCCTAGTTTTTCAGCCCTTTTTTTAGGCTGAAAAAGCTCCTCTCAGCTTATACTCGAGTCAAGGTTATTTATTATTTTACTTTATCGTTATTATTATTATTATTATTATTATTACAATTATTACAATTATTACATTTATATGTTAGCTTTATTATTTTTATTATTATTACATTTATTATCTTAGGAGCCCCCGGTGGCGCAGTGGGTTAAACCCCTGTACCGGCAGGACTGAAGACTGACAGGTCGCAAGTTCAAATTCGGGGAGAGGCGGATGAGCTTCCTCTGTCAGCTCCAGCTCCTCATACGGGGACATGAGAGAAGCCTCCCACAAGTTGATAAAAACATCAAAAATCATCTGACCGTCCTCTGGGCAATGTCCTTGCAGACGGCCAATTCTCTCATACCAGAAGCAACTTGCAGTTTCTCAAGTCGCTCCTGACACGACAAAAAAAATTAATATTTTACTCTATTATTATTGGAAGGATATGTAAACACATGTACATTGAAGAAGGTTAGAATAATGGTTTAGTCAGAGTTGGAAAGTCTTACCTTACAGTTTTATGTAAATATTAATAAACAGTCAAGCTACTGATGCCTCAATTAATGTAATTTTATCGGTATCTATTTTTATTTTGAAACTGACCTATAGCTGCTGCATTTTCCATCCTCAACTTATACTCGAGTCAATAGGTTTTCCCAGTTTTTGTGGTAAAATCAGGTGCCTCGGCTTATACTCAAGTATATACTGTATTTACTTATATTTACAAAAAAGAACCTTATTATTTACTTATTATTTCTGCTTATTTCTAGGAGCTGCCCAGTGGTCCGCAAACAGCAGAGAGTGAGGCGTCAACACCAGAGGTGAAGCAAGATGATCCTAAAGAGGTGTGTTGTGCAGGTTGCTGAGGTTCCTTGAGCATGGGTTTTATACGCAAAAATCCCTCCCACATTTTGGGGGGATTCTTCATTATCACGAGGAAGAACTTCCTGACTGTGAGAGCTGTTCAGCAGTGGAACTCTCTGCCCCAGAGTGTGGTGGAGGCTCCTTATTTGGAAGCTTTTAAACAGAGGCTGGATGGCCATCTGTCAGGGGTGATTTGAATGCAATATTCCTGCTTCTTGGCAGGGGGTTGGACTGGATGGCCCATGAGGTCTCTCCCAACTCTTTGATTCTATGATTCTACGCATAAGGTATTTTATGGTGCAACTTCCCACTACGGATGCACAAAAAAATCTGAGAGATACCTTTCCCCCAAAACTATGGCAGTATATCTGAAAACATAAATTAATTTCTAGTTCTGGTCTTTGTAGTTTGGTGAGGCCCCAATTTTCTTAGACAGAGAAGGATAGAGACCTTGTGAAACCATGACTCCCAGGGCTCCATGGCAGTTAAAAGTGGTCTCAAACTGTATTAACTCTACAATGTAGTTGAACCCTTGGGCTCTGGAGCAGTGGAAAACGAGTCAGCTTCATCTTCAAGATGGCATCCTTTGAAATACTTAAACATGGCTTTCCTGTCATCTGTAAACCTCTTTTCCAGACTCCTAACTCCCAGCTCCATGAGAGGGATTCATAGTTTCCAGTCCTTTTGTTTGCCTGTCATTGGACACCTTCCAGCAGGCATTTGATAATATTTTTAGACAGTAAGCAGTATTTATTTATTTATTGTGTCAGGAGCAAACCAAACAGTTGTATTGCATTTTTTAACAAACAAACAAAACACAAAGTTTGCAAGCTTGGTAGTTGATTAAATGTCCTTTGACCAGTATTTGGCCACTAGGAGTGCCTTCAGTGTCACCGCAAGAAGGTCCTCCATCGTGCATGTGGCAGGGCTCAGGTTGCATTGCAGCAGGTGGTTTGCTCTTCTCCACCCTTGCATGTTTTGGATTCCACTTTGTAGCCCCATTTCTTAAGGTTGGCTCTGCATCTCGTGGTGCCAGAGCGCAGTCTGTTCAGCGCCTTCCAAGTTGCCCAGTCTTCTGTGTGCCCAGGGGGGAGTCTCTCATTTGGTATCAGCCATTGGTTGAGGTTCTGGGTTTGAGCCTGCCACTTTTGGACTCTCGCTTGCTGAGGTGTTCCAGCAAGTGTCTCTGTAGATCTTAAAAAACTATTTCTTAATTTAAGTCGTTGATGTGCTGGCTGATACCCAAACAGGGTATCAGTAACCAGTAACTGATTGCCAATCACTTATCACTTTATATTTATATTGTGTGCATTCAGCTGGGCTGCTATATTGGTGACATGGATCTTTTAACTGATTCTATTTTAATAGAGATTGTTTGATCCAATTTATATGCCTGGTTTATGTAATATATTATTGTTTTCATGTTGATGTATTTTATTTTATGTGTTGTGTATTTTATGTATAGCATCTTTGTGTGCTGTTTTGTAAGCTGCCCTGAGGCCCTATGGGAGATGATGGTGGGTTATAAATGAAGTATTTATTTATTTATTAAAAAAAGATTGGAGCCCCCAGTGACACAGTGAGTTAAAGCAGTGAGCTGCTAAGCTTGTTGACCAAAAGGTCACAGGTTCGAATCCAGGGAGCAGCGTGAGCTTCCGCTGTCAGCCCATCTTCTGCCAACCTAGCAGTTCAAAAACATGCAAATGTGAGTAGATCAATAGATACCGCTCCGGCGGGAAGGTAATGGCTCCATGCAGTCATGCTGGCCACATGACCTTGGAGGTGTCTATGGACAATGCCGGCTCTTCGGCTTAGAAATGGAGATGAGAACCACACCCCCAGAGTCAGACATGACTGGACTTAATGTCAGGGGACAACCTTTTCTTTAGAGCCCCCGGTGGCGCAGTGGGTTAAACCCCTGTGCCGGCAGGACTGAAGACCGACAGGTCACAGGTTCGAATCTGGGGAGAGGCGGATGAGCTCCCTCTATCAGCTCCAGCTCCTCATGCGGGGACATGAGAGAAGCCTCCCACAAGGATGATAAAAACATCAAATCATCTGGGGGTCCGCTGGGCAACGTCCTTGCAGATGGCCAATTCTCTCACACCAGAAGTGACTTGCAGATTCTCAAGTCTCTCCTGACATGACAAAAAAAAAAACCTTTACCTTTTTTACCATTTATTTATTTGCCACATTTGTATACTGCCTTTCTCAGCCAGAGGCGACTCAAGGCGGTTTGCAGTCGGCAGCGATTCGATGCCATAACAATGATAAAGATACCGTTAAAACAATTATAAAAACAATTCAAACATATAGAATGTGATATAAAAACAATACAGCCTATGAAAACAAAATCCTCGGCGTCGCCTTACTAAAATCATTGTTGTTGTTATTATTATTATTATTATTATTACTACTACTACTACTATTATTGTGTCAAGTTAAATGGGCCTTAATTAAAATTTTACCTTTCCCCAAAATTGGGGAAGTCGAGAAGTGGTTTTGATCTCCTCCACCATTGCCTTCTGAGTTGACTCGAACTTTGTTAACATACGTTTTTTCCCACTCAGATAATTGACAACATCATAGAAGAAAGCCAGAAAGTGAACCTGCTTGAGGACAACCCTTTGGCCGTACCTGGGCAGGAGCTGACGGAGCCCTCTTCGCAGGCGAATCTGTGGATTTCCGGAGCTGACCTTCTCCAGAATATTCCCGAACTGTTGGTCGCCGAAGCCACGTTGTCAGGGGACCAGGAAGCACCTTTGAGCGAAATCGCTGTCGAGGACGATGAGACGGAGCTGGGGACAGCCTTACCGCCTCTTGTAGAGTTTGAAAATGGCTCAGAGGTTCCAACAGAAATCCCAGGCGAGGCCCACAGACCAAAGGTAGATGGAGACGATGAGGCGGAGGGTCATCCAGTGGATATTTTGGCTACAGCAGAACTCTGTCCCGTCAAGGACCTCTCTGCTGGCGATGAGGAGGAGGAGGTGCCACCCAGCAAACCCCCGCGACAGCTGAGCATGGAGCCCGACATTGTGGCCAGCACGAAGAAGGCCCTCCCTGCCAGGCCCCCGCCTCCAGCTGGCGGACCACCCCCCAGGCCCCCACCCCCCTCCCGGCCGGCCCCACCCCCCAGGAAAAAAAAGAGTGAGCTGGAGATTGAGACCCAGAGGAGCCCCGGGCTGGAAGGCAAGTAGCTTTTCCTCATCGTGTCCTATTACATTGTCATTGTTGGGTGAGTGGGCTTGTTAACAAAAGACCCTCCCCATGAATGTATAGCAGAGTAACTTATTAACAGTAGTGTGACCCAGCACCAGTAGCCCAAAGTGATAAATAGAAGAAAAACACACAGTTCGATGTTATTTCTTCCTTAAGAGGCTTTTCTTTGTAGTGAATTAATATGGTTGCACTATTTACAAGAACTAGAGTTCCATAGCACAAATAAAGTTCTTTAAACTTCCTTCTTTGCTTCCACACTGGGCTTCTTTCTCATGCAGATAAACAACTTTGCTCTCGCCTCCTCTCATACCAAACTTACACAGGAGTTTCACACTGTAATAATAATAATAATAATAATAATAATAATAATAATAATAATAATAATAATGGTTGTTGTAGGTTTTTTCAGGCTATATGGCCATGTTCTAGAGGCATTCTCTCCTGACGTTTCGCCTGCATCTATGGCAAGCATCCTCAGAGGTAGTGAGGTCTGTTGGAACTAGAAAAAAGGGTTTATATATCTGTGGAATGACCAGGGTGGGACAAAGGACTCTTGTCTGTTGGAGCTAGGTGTGAATGTTTCAACTGACCACCTTGATTAGCATTTGATGGCCTGGCAGTGCCTGGGGCAATCTTTTGTTGAGAGGTGATTAGATGTGCCTGATTGTTTCCCCTCTGTTGTTTTGCTATTGTAATTTTAGAGTTTTTTTAATACTGGTAGCCAGATTTTGTTCATTTTCATAATAATAATAATAATAATAATAATAATAATACCACCATCTACCCGATGGGGACTCGGAGCGGCTTACATGAGGCCAAGCCCAAATAACAATTACAATAAAGGAAAAACCAAAACACAAACCGAAAACGCAAACAGTAACAATAACATCATATTAACATAAAATATATGCATACATAACAATATAAAAATTACAATAAGCACAAGCACAATAACAATGGGCGGGCTACATGTAATGATTAAAAGACAAACAGAATTAAAACTAATTAAAACTCGGGCGAGATAAAAGAAGGAAGTAGGTAGTTTGCAGAGGAGAGCTCATTATAGGGGAGGTTGTGGAAGCAGGCTTTCCCACGCAGAAACACAGCAGCCTTCACAATGGGGCTTCACACAGTAGCTGTACACACTACGCCTTCAACCTGGGGCTTCAACCTAGACCTTCTCATACATAGGCCTACTAACACTGAGATCTTCTTACACTGAGGGCTCTCTCAGACTGGCGTTCTTTCTCCCATCCTGGACATTCCACAGAGATATAAACCTCCCTTGCCTAGTTTCCAACAGACCTCACAGCCTCTGAGGATGCCTGCCATAGATGTGGGTGAAACATCAGGAGAGAATGCTTCTGTTTTTATTTTATTTTATAAAGAATTTTTATTTTTACAATACAGAAAAAATACATACCATGCACACACAAAACATTTACAGCTCCCACCACCACCACAAGGATTGTTTTCTTTTACATATTTGTTTCTTTTTGAGACAATCATTATATCTTTATACATTTTCATCCTGTATACTATATAACATTTGCATCTTATTTCTTACTAGCGTTGCTGTGTCCTACACGGGGGTTCAATGTGGGAGGTTTGGGCCAATTCTGTCATTGGTGGGGTTCAGAATGCTCTGTGATTGTAGGTGAACTATAAATCCCTGCAACTACAACTCCCAAATGTCAAGATTCTATTTTCCCCAAACTCCACCAGTGTTCACATTTGGGCATATTTAGTATTCTTGTAGAGTTTAGTCCAGATCCACCATTGTTTGAGTCCATAGTGCTCTCTGGATGTAGGTGAACTACAACTCCCAAACCAAAAACACTGCCCACCAAACCCTTCCAGTGTGTTCTGTTGGTCATGGGAGAGCTGTGTGCCAAGTTTGGTTCAATTCCATCATTGGTGGGGTTCAGAATGTTCTTTGATTGTAGGTGAACTATAAATCCCAGCAACTACAACTCCCAAATGACAAAATCAATTTTTTTGAGTGAAGGATATACATTGGGTTGTTAGGTGTCTTGTGTCCAAATTTGGTGTTAATTCATCCAGTAGTTTTTGAGTTCTGTTAATCCCACAAACGAACATTACATTTTTGTTTATATACATGGCTTGATCTCCAGAATGAGTCATAATATAGTTCTTTACCCTTGTCCATCTTTCTTCCATTTCTCTCATTCTATTTTCATTGATTTTAAATCATTTAATTTCATGTTCATAATTTCAAATTCCATTTGCTCCACTATATATTGGTACCATTTATTTACTGTCCATTTTGATTTATTTTTCCCACCCTAATACTATTACTGCTTGTGCACATTCTATTATTGCTTCTGGAACATGGCCCTACAGCCCAGAAAACTCACAACAACCCAGTTATTCTGGTCATAAAAGCCTTCAACAACAAACTTTTCCCATGATTTTATAATAGTACCAATAGGAAATGACCCAGGAAAGAAAATCATGTTACATAGTGCAATGGAAGAAATACTGTATGACATCCTTCTGTTTCCTCTCCAGTTTCAAGGGAGGCCTTTCCCGGTGGCCTCTTGAGCCCTCATGTGTCTGTGGACTCCATGGCCAAAGACTCGCAGCCTTCCTTGGACCTGGCCAGCGCCACGAGTGGGGACAAAATCGTCACTGCCCAGGTGAGGAAATGCCAGGGCTCCCCATGGAGGCCCCCAATGCCTTCTGTCTTGTAAGTCCCAACATAAACCCAGGTCATAGGGGGTCTGTGTGGGAAGTCTGGCCCAATTCTATTATTAATGGGGTTCAGAATACTCTTTGATTGTAGATGAACTATAAATCCCAGCAACTACAACTCCCAAATAACAAGCTCTATTTTCCACAAACTCCACAAGTGTTCACATTTTGACATATTGAGTATTCATGCCAAGTTTTGTCCAGATCCATCATTGTTTGAGTCCACAGTGCTCTCTAGATGTAGGTGAAGTACAACTCCAAAACTCAAGGTCAATGCCCACCAAACCCTTCTAGTGTTTTTTGTTGGTCACGGGAGTTCTGTGTCCCAAGTTTGGTTCAATTCCATTGTTCAGAATGCTCTCTGATTGTAGGTGGCTATAAATCCCAGCAACTACAACTCCCAGATGACAAAATCAATCCCTCCCCCCAACCCCACCAGTATTCAAACTTGGGCATATTGGGTATTTGTGCCAAATTTGGTCCAGTGAATGAAAATACATCCTACATATCAGATATTTACGCTACGATTCATAACAGCAGCAAAATTAGAGTTATGAATTTTATGGTTGGGGGCCACCACAACATGAGGAACTGTATTAAGGGGTCGCGTCATTAGGAAGATTGAGAACCACTGGTCTAGATCCATCATTGTTTGAGTCTACAGTGCTCTCTGGATGTAGGTGAACTACAATTCCACCAAACCCTTCTGGTATTTTCTGTTGGTCATGGAGTTCTGTGTGCCAAGTTTGGTTCAGTACCATTGTTGGTGGAGTTCCGAATGCTCTTTGATTGTACGTGAACTATAAATCCCAGCAACTACAACTCCCAAATGACAAAATCAACCCCCCCCCCCCAACAACCGCACCAATATTCAGATTTGGGCATATCGGGTATTTGTTCCAAATTTGGTCCAGTGAATGAAAATACATCCTGCATATTAGATATTTACATTAGGATTCATAACAGTAGCAAAATTACAGTTATGAAATAGCAACAAAAATAATTTATGGTTGGGGATCACCACAACATGAGGAACTGTATTATTGTTTATGTTTTTTTGCTTTGTTTATGAGTTTTATATTGTTGTACTGTTGTTGTGTTTTACTGATGTATATGAGCTCGGCCTCTTGTAAGCCGCACCGAGTCCTTTGGGAGATGGTAGCGGGGTATAAATAAAGGATTATTATTATTATTATTATTATTATATTAACTGTATTAAGAGGTCACAGCATTAGGAAGGTTAGGAACCATTGGTGAAGAGGAGCCCCTGTTTCAGAGGGAGATAGAGAGAGGAAAGAAAATGAGAGTTAAGGAGCAAGAAGGGGCGGCAACGAATCTAAAGGTTAGAGTGGAGGACCGGTAAATGACCTTAATGGGCCAGATCTGGCCCGCGGACCATAGTCTGAGGGTCCCAGTGTTCCCCCGTATAAGCAGTCCAACCCCACAGCCACTGATATCTTGCAAATGGCTCTAGAGTTGCCTTCATCTTTGTTCTCGCCTGGCAGTCGTTTTTGCAAGGCTCCTCATCGCACGTGCCGTGGGCCGTGACCCAGTTTCCAGCACCACGTTGTTAATGAAATAGTAATGCATCCCCTTTCCTTTTTCTCTGCTGAAGCAAGTGAATGTCTGTCATTGCAGGAGAACGGGAAACCAGCGGATGGACAGACGGTCACCAGCGAAGTGGTTGGGCCTCAGAGGCCCAGGTCGAACTCCGGCCGAGAGCTGACCGATGAGGTAGCCTTGCGACAAATGGGGATTTCGTCCTTGTCTGTATAATGTCATCTTGATGGGCCAGGTTTGGGGGAAGTATATGCTATGCATCAAAAACAGTGAAAACAAGTCAGAACATTGACGTTCCTCTAAAGCAGCGTTTCTCAACCTGGGGGTCGGGACCCCTGGAGGGGTCGTAAGGAGGTGTCAGAGGGGTCGCCAAAGACGCAGTATTTTCTGTTGGTCATGGGGGTTCTGTGTGGGAAGTTTGGCCCAATTCTAACCTTGGTAGGGTTCAGAATGCCCTTTGATTCTAGGTGAACTATAAATCCCAGTAACTACAACTCCCAATATCAAGGTCTATTTTCCCCAAACTCCAGCAGAGTTCACATTTGGGCATATTGATTGTCATGCCAAATTTGGTCCAGATCCATTATTGTTTGAGTCCACAGTTCTCTTTGGATGTAGCTGAACTACAACTCCAAAACTCAAGAGTAAAATAATGTAATAATCGAGTTAAATAATAAATGCAATAAAAATAATAGAGTAAAATAAAGTAAATGCAATAATAATAGAGTAAAATAATAAATGTAATAATAACAATAATATAGTAAAATAATAAATGTAATAAGAATAACAGAGTAAAATAATAAATGTAGTAGCAATAATAATAATAATAACAACAACAACAGAGTAAAATAATGAATAACTTTGACTTGGGTATAAGCTAAGGGGGGCTTTTTCAGCCTTAAAAAAGGGCTGAAAAACTCAACTTATACGCAAGTATATATGATACTTTGAAAGGAGTTCTACTGGAAACATCATTTTTGTGGCAGATTAGGTTGAATTGGTTGAGGATCAATGAGGTATTCATTGGAAAACTAGAGCAAAATGTGCTGCAGGATGTCCCTTCTGCAGAAATGAAGTTTTTGCAATTTTATAAACCTTTTCCATGTTTTTATGATAGAACTAATTAGGAAATGACATTGATAACCCAGAAACAAAAATCGTGTTACATAGTGTTATAATGTGATAGATTGAAATGAAATATCATCATAAGAGCAATTTTGCAGTGACCTTTTTCTCGTGTCCCATTTGACATCTCTGCTGGAGGATCCCTTTTCCTCCAGATTCCAAACTACAAAGTCCGGTCATGGACCCCTTGTATTTCCTTGAGTGTCTTATCAGTGTTGGTTGTCTTCCTTGGCTCCAAAGGAAATCCTGGCCAGCGTCATGATCAAGAACCTTGACACAGGAGAGGAGATCCCGCTGAGTTTGGCCGAGGAAAAGCTGCCCACCGGCATCAACCCCCTGACGCTGCACATCATGAGGCGGACAAAGGAATATGTCAGGTAGGGAAGAGATCCCTTCGGAGTTGTATCTCCCAGAATCCCCCATCCAGCATTGTGTACACAATGGGGTTGTGCATGCTTAGTAAGGAAAAACAGCACTGACACCGTGGAAACTTCAGGTGATTCTCCCTCCCTCATTTTTAGACCAATTCCAATTAAACTACAGTGGCAGAATACATGAACCACTGTTAGCTCACCAAATTTCATAACCTTTGACTTATCCATAGATTTTTGGCGAATTTTCAAAGTTTTTATTAAAAAAACATTTTTTTTAATAATAAAGAAAATCTGTTCCTGGTTTGAAAGTGCTATTTCCTGTTTCATTGGGTGGTCTTTACTTTGAAAATAGTTGTACTCCTCCAGAAACTTCGTTTGTGTGGCACAAACTGTGTTAAATTGGTGGAGAACAGAAATCATAGTACGGACCCCATCCAGGGACGTCTAGCCTGTAATATTATATTATCTTGTAATATTATTAGTAATATTACATGTACTGTAAATACACAATATAGTACATTGTATATACACATAATATTTATAATATTATAATGTAATACAATATAATACTAGTAATAATAATTCAATATTATAATGCCCACCAAACCCTTCCAGTGTGTTCTGTTGGTCATGGAAGTCCTGTATGCCATGTTTGGCTCAATTCCATCATTGGTGGAGTTCAGAATGCTCTTTGATTGTAGGTGAACTATAAATCCCAGTAAGTACAGATCCCAAATGTCAAGGGTCTATTTCCTCCAAACTCCATCTGTGTTCATATTTAGGCATATGGAATATTTGTGTCAAGTTTGGTCCAGATCCATCATTGTTTGAGTCCACAGTGCTCTCTGGATGTAGGTGAACTACAACTCCCAAACTCAAGGTCAATGGCCACCAAACCCTTCCAGTGTGTTCTGTTGGTCATGGAAGTCTTGTATGCCATGTTTGGTTCAATTCCATCATTGGTAGAGTTCAGAATGCTCCTTGATTGTAAGTGAACTATAAATACCAGTAAGTACAAATCCCAAATGTCAAGGTCTATTTCCTCCAAACTCCATCTGTGTTCATATTTGGGCATATGGAATATTTGTGCCAAGTTTGGTCCAGATCCATCATTGTTTGAGTCCACAGTGCTCTCTGGATGTGGGTGAACTATAATTCCCAAACTCAAGGTCAATGTCCACCAAACCTTCCAGTTTTTTCTGTTGGTCATGGGAGCCCTGTGTGCTAAGTTTGGCCCAATTCCATCATTGGTGGAGTTCAGAATGCTCTTTGATTGTAGGTAACTATAAATCCCAGCAACGACAATTCCCAAATGACAAAATCATTTTTTTTTGAGTGGAGGACATAAATTGGACTGTTAGGTGTCTTGTGTCCAAATTTGGTGTCAATTCCCCCAGTGGTTTTTGAGTTCTGATGGTAGCGCGAACTAACATTACATTTTTATTTATATAGATTATTGTTGTTGTTGTTGTTGTTGGAGTCTCACAAGTAGGGACCAACTGCCTCTGGTACCTTTTTTCCCGCAGGTTTGTGAAGGGATCGCATTGGTTGTAGGATTTGATGCCTTAAGAATAACCTAATGCTGTTTTGCTTTCCCGCAGCAATGAAGGGGCTCAGTCCGACGACGAAGACAAGTTGCAGTCACAGCAGAGCGACACGGACGGAGGGCGCTTGAAACAGAAGACGTAAGGAAGCCGGCTGCTTTGTTTTGTGTGTTTCTAGAGGGGGGAAGCATCCATAGGTTGAGTGACAGAGCATCCTTATTTCAATCCCTATGACTTCCAAGCAGGATTGAAAGAAAAGGTGCTTAAAACAAAGGGAGTTGCTCCTTGATAACGTTCAGAATATTGACCTGAAAGGGTCTCACTGGGTGGCCAGCTGTCAGGGAGGCTTTGATTGTGCAAACTCCAGTAGCAGAAAAAGCTTGAGGGGTGCAAAATGTCATAGCACTATTCCTCCCTTCTCCATCTGTTTTCGCTCCCTCTTTTCCTCTCTCCTCTTGCTTTCTATTTTTCCAGGACAGCAGGATATAAATATTTCAGCAAAACATAAAAGCAGGAAGGTGGGGGGCGGATAAAGGCTGGCTCTGACTTGCAGCTGTTTCCTCGCAAGCCATGTGCGCTGTCTCTCTCTGGCAGGCAGAATGGGAGCTGTCAGGTTGTCTCTTGCTCTCTGTTCTCTTTCAAAGGAATCCTTTTTCCGCTTTTTTCTCCCTTCCAAAGGACCCAGCTGAAAAAGTTCCTCGGCAAATCGGTCAAGAGGGCGAGGCACTTAGCCGAAGAGTACGGTGAACGAGCCGTCAACAAAGTGAAGAGCGTCCGGGACGAAGGTTCGGAAACATGGACCTTTATTTGGGGAGGAACGTCCTGTGCGGCCATAGCCCTCCACATTCTCAGGCTTACCTTTGCCAGATCAGATCATTCTGTCTAGGAATCTCTGGGTCCTTTGGTGCAATGCTGTGGCCAGCTTAGACCTGGAAATTCCTACATTTTTACTCATTTTTGATCCCAGTTTCACGGCGGTCCTGTGCCTCTTACTGCAGCAAATGTGGAGGGCTGACTATTAGGCATGTGCAAGAACATCTAGGGCAGGGGTCCCCAAACTACGGCCCGCGGGCCACTTCCAGCCCTCCAAGGGCCCTTATCCGGCCCGCAGAGGAGGAGCGCCCCCCCCCACACAGTGCCCCTCCCTTGGCTGGCTCACGCTATCCGTCAGGCCCGATGGGCAGCGTGAGCCAGCCAAGGGCAGCTGCTCCGCGTGGCCTACTTGCGCGTAAAGCACCTTGTGATGTGCTTTACACGCAAGTAGGCCGCGCTGGCATTCGAAGAATGAGTCAAGATGCCCATTGGCCCGATGGGCAGCGTGAGCCAGCCAAGGGAGGCTGCCCCGGCGCTCCATGCAGTCATGCCGGCCACATGACCTTGGAGGTGTCTACGGACAACGCCGGCTCTTCGACTTAGAAATGCAGATGAGCACCACACCCCAGAGTCGGACACGACTGGACTTCATGTCAGAGGAAAACCTTTAACTAGGAAAATTGTGGAAGATCCAGGGTGGGAGAAAGAACTCTTGTCTGTTGGAGGTAGGTATGAATGTTTCAATTGGCCACCTTGATTACCATTTCATAGCCTGACAGTTTTTAGGGAGAATCCTTTGTTGAGAGGTGATTAGCTGGCCCTGATTGTTTCTTGTCTGGAGTTCCCCTGTGTTTGAGTGTTGTTCTTTATTTACAGTTATAATTTTAGAGTTTTTTAAATACTGGTAGCCAGATTTTGTTCAGACTAGAAATAGGAAGATTTCCCATTCTCAACTTCTGGAATTACTGCCCAAAGAGGGCTAGAAAGAACCCCCTCCCTCTAAGGGCCCTTCCACACAGCAAAATAAGATATGTGCAATGTTCATAGGAATTGTTTTATTGATTTTTTTAAAAAAACTATAGTCCAGCCCTCCAACGGTCTGAGGGACAGTGAACTGGCCCCCGGTTTAAAAAGTTTGAGGACCCCTGTTCTAAATGGTTCCAAAGTACTTACAAAATTAAAATTCTGGTGGTGAAAACTAGGGGGCGCTGGTGCTTTTGCTTCTACAGTGTTGCTAAATGGTGCAACTCAGGGTAGTTTCACCTTGCTCCCAAACACCACCACACCAGAGCTGTAGATTTTGTAGTTTATTGAGGAAAAAAGCAAAGTCAAAACAGAATAAGAAATGCAAAAGTTCCCCAAGCAGGACAGAGGCTTAAATGCAAAACACAGTTTCAAAGATCCAAAAACAAAACATGAAGCATAATCCTTTAGGCAATGATCAAACAAGAGTCCATGGTAAAACAGTTGTTGAGATTAACTTCACAATTCAACAGCAGATCAGTTGCACAACTTCAGCGCTTTCCAGTAGCTTCTTCCTGCACAGTATTTTCAGTCAGCTGCTCCTACAAACTGCAGTCACTCTGGAACTCTTTTACAGACACTTGAGCACATGCCCGGCCATTGTCAGTTTGACCGCTGTCTTTCCCTCAGCTTAGATGATATTACAAACGTACCACAGCATATAGTTATATCTTGTCTTAGCAGACAGGTTCTTTTAATTACATACAGCCTTCAACAAACAACATCACAGCACAAGGAGAAATATACACTGTCCATGACTTCCTTATATACAATTCATTTACACATAGCAATCTCTGATTGGTTCCCAACTCATTGACTTAACTCAAACCCAGGATTGCATCATTCACAATCACCTGGACTAGGCCAGAACACATTCCCCAAATGAAGTGCTATATACAGTTAATGCATGACTCAGCATTTCCAATAGAAGCCCATTAGCAGTGCATGACTCAGCTATATTACATTACAATACATTGTAAATCCTGACAACAGTGAAACACAAGACCCAAAAACCCAGATTCAGGAAACCAAAAGCAAGCTGCTTAAAGCCAAGGTTAATCCATAGAACTTTGCGTGGAAAGAGCCACGTTGAACTGACAACTCCCGTTTGTCAGCCAGAATGCTAAATACCCTTTGCAATCATGAACACATTGCGATGACCCTTGGCCGACTTGGCCTCTCACTTAGCAGCTAAGCAAGAGCTCCTACGAACCCTTAATTCTAAGCATTCTTGCCTGCTCATTAATTCACTATCTTCAAGGCTCTCTTTATCTTGGTCCAGCTGGGCTAGATCACAGTGGGAAGGCTGAGAAGGCGAAGACAACTCCACCTGGCTGTTATCTATCCCACTGATATTCTTTTCCCCTGAGAACTGAGTTGATGTTTCTCCTGCTGCACTGTCTGAAGCAGGCACAACAGAAATCTGAATCCCATCATCCTCTTCATCAGGGATCTCTGGCTCACAAGACCCACAGGGTTCAGTTTCAGACTGAGCCACAACACTAAAGTTCTGGTGATGAAAATTTCAGAACTCTAACAAAACTTTCAAAATTTCATTATTATTTCATTATTAATTATTTTTTTATGACAGAACCAATTAGGAGCTGACATTTATAATGAAATTTTGAAAGTTTCTGGTTTTTTTGGGAATGAAATTCCAAATATTTTTTGTGTCTCTTTAGGTATATTTTTCCAATAAACTTGGGCTTTCTTACATGACCACCACATATGAAAAAAACTACCCTCAACCTCATGACATTTCCAACACTTTTTTCCTGCTTTTTTAGTGTTGCTCTTTATTTACTGCGCTGAGTTTAGAGTTTTTTAATACTGGTAAAGAGATTATGTTTATTTTCATGGTTTCCTCTTTTCTGTTGAAATGGTCCGCATGCTTGATGAACCAATCTGGACGCAGCATATTTTTTGAGAACACAGAAATGCTGGACCGCTCTGACAATCACCATGTCAGACTTCACAGAGAAGCCACTGAAATCCACAAGCATGTGGACAATTTCAACAGAAAGGAAGAAACTATGAAAATGAACAAAATCTTGCTATCAGTATTTTTTTTAAAAACTCTAAAATCAGGACAGTAAATAAAGAGCAACACTCAAAAAGCGGGGGAATTCCAGACAGGAAACAATCAGGGCCAGCTAACACCTCCAAAGAAAGGAGGCATTTCTGAAAAGTGTGTCACCAACATGAAAAGTTTGGAAAGCTCTGGTTTAGACTATTGTCAGAGCAGTCGTGCCCAGAACCTACCCATGGCACTCTATAGAAACACGCCATTTCTTTCTTCAATATGGGTATCATGGTCTCTAGAGTCGATGTTGGGGGTGTCTTCCAAGGCTCCAGAGAGTTTTGCTGCAGGTATGTGGAGGGATCGACTTTCACCGTGGATCTGTTGCCGTTTTTTCATTTGCTCAGTTTTCCACACCGACCAGGACGACCCCTCCTCGAGTGACGACGAAGGCATGCCCTACACGCGGCCGGTGAAATTCAAGGCAGCGCACGGCTTCAAGGGACCCTACGACTTCGAGCAAATCAAAGTCGTCCAGGACCTCAGCGGGGAGCACATGGTTAGTGTCGCTTTCAGATATAACGTTAACGTCTTACTGGGAATTTTTTCTGGAGCCATTGCCCTAAACGATCCTTTCCCAACTTACCTGTCCGAACGTAACTCCCCTTACGAACCACTGAGGACTTTAAGATCATCTGGGGAGGCCCTGCTCTCGGTCCCACCTTCTTCACAAGCACGTTTGGCGTGGACGAGAGACAGGGCCTTCTCAGTGGTGGCCCCTCGGCTATGGAACGCCCTCACTAGGGAGATCAGATCTGCTCCCTCCCTCTTGACCTTAAAACATGGCTATTCGAGCAAGCATTTACAAATACAGAGTAGCTAATATAGGAAATCGAATGACCTGACAATGGAATTGGACAATGCTTGAGAATAACGAGACGCTGCGATGTTGCTTTTATTGCTTTTGTGATGTCTTATACCGTTTAATGTTTTTTATCTATATTATGTTTTATGTATACTGATTTGTTGGAAACGGCCTTGAGTCGCCAATTGGCTGAGAAAGGCGGTATACAAATACAGTAAATAATTAAAAAATAATAAATAATTGTGGTGTGATTATTTTGGGTGTCAAACTCTACTCTTGATACAAGAAGTGGCATTTTTTAATATTCTTTCTTTCTTCCTGGGAAGTTCCAGGTTTGTTTATAATAACATAATATAATTTATTATTATTATTATTTATGATATAAAATATTTATTATTATTATTATTATTATTATTTACTAATGATGTCATATATTTAATTATGTTATTTACAGTAATATATTTTATAATTTTATTTACAATCATTATAATACATTTATGATTTCACTAGCCGTCCCCTGTGTTTTGTGTGTGTATATATGTGTGTATATATTGTGTATATGTATTTTGTGTGTGTATATATTTGTGTATATGTGTTTGTGTGTATATGTGTGTGCTCATGTGTATATTTGTTTATTTATATGTGTACATGCAGATTGTGTAAATTCGTCCAACATACTGGACGAATTGACACAAAATTTGGACACAATATACCTAACAGTCCAACAAGTGTCCATCACCCATAAACACACACACACACACAAAACCCCAGCAGAACAGACTTAAAAACCCAAAAAGTACACCATATACATATACACATACACTTATACATATACACGCGCACACATTCATACACACACTTATATATATGCACACACACACAAATATACACATATACATATCCACATATATACATATACATATGCACACACATATACATACATATACACACAAATATGCATATAGACAAGCACACATACGCAATATGCATAAACACATATAAACACACAAATATATACGCATATATACACACACATATATACACCCACACACACATATACGCAAACACACATATATACACAAATATATACACACATATACACCCACACACAAAACACATATACACAAACTGAGCCACAGCAACACGTGACAGGGGACAGCTAGTAGATAATAATTTCAACCTTGTCTATTTTGTCTCAATGTGCCTCCCAAATTTTTCATTTAATCAGAATACTGGGGGACCTTTCTCAGGTGTAATTGAGTCTGTCCTGACGATTGTGACTATTTATGGATTGTGCTCAACCATTGCGTTGTGGGTCTCTCTTGTTGTGTCCTGCAGGGCGCTGTGTGGACCATGAAGTTCTCCCATTGCGGCCGGCTGCTGGCTTCAGCGGGGCAGGACAACGTGGTGCGGATCTGGGTGCTGAAGAACGCCTTCGACTACTTCAACAACATGCGGATGAAGTACAACACGGAAGGTATCTCCCTTGGCCCTCCTTTTCCCCCAAAGCATCCTTTCTCCCCAAAGAACTACTTTTTATGTTGTTTTTCCCATTTGCTATCTTTCAGGCCGGGTGTCCCCGTCCCCGTCCCAAGAGAGCCTGAATTCGTCCAAGTCGGACAACGATATGGGGGTGAGTCGGGCCCCTTTTGCCATCAGACATCTCCAACCAGCACAACTCTATAGTCGACTTCCAGTATTTTGTTTTTAAAGGCACCCCAAGTTACAAAACAACGGGGGCCGCGATGGCGCAACGGGTTAAACCGTTGAGCTGCTGAACTTGCTGACTGGAAGGTTGGTGGTTCGAATCAGTGGGACAGAGTGAGCTCCCACTGTTAGCTCCAGCTTCTGCCAACCTAGCAGTTCGAAAACATGCAAATGTGAGTAGATCAATAGATACCACCTTGATGGGAAGGTAAACAGCACTCCATCAGTCATGCCGGCCACATGACCAGGAGGTGTCTACAGACAACAAAGGCTCTTCAGCTTAGAAATGGAGATGATCATCACCCTCAGAGCCAGAGATGAAGAAGAAGCCTTTACCTTCATCTGTGTTTCATTGTTTTGAAGCATTGAATGTTTGCCTTCTGTCTCTGTATATGCTGGAATCCGCCCTGAGTCCTCTTGGGGAGATAAGGCGGAATACAAATAAATTATTATTATTATTATTATTAATAATAATAATAATAATTAGTGGTTGTTTTATAACTTTTATGTGATATTGTTTTTATACTCTGGGGTGTGGTGATCATCTCCATTTCTAAGCCATAGAGCCAGCGTTGTCCATAGACACCTCCAAGGTCATGTGGCCGGCATGACTGCATGGAGCGTCGTTATTATAAGGTAATGCAATATAATACTAATAATAATATGATATAATTATATATTTGTATTACATGTAATATTACTAATAATATTACAATATAATGGTATAGTACAATATAGTAATATTTAATACTGATATTGTACTATGCTTTTTTTTGTCGTGTCAGGAGTGACTTGAGAAATTGCAAGTTGCTTCTGGTGTGAGAGAATTAGCCGTCTGCAAGGACGTTGCCCAAGGGACGCCCAAATGATTTGATGTTTTTATCATCCTTGTGGGAGGCTTCTCTCATGTCCCTGCATGAGGAGCTGGAGCTGATAGAGGGAGCTCATCCGCCTCTCCCCGGATTTGAACCTGCGACCTGTTGGTCTTCAGACCTGCCGGCACAGGGGTTTAACGCACTGCGCCACTGGCAGTTTATGTTATATACTACACTTGTTTATGTTATATGCTATATATGCTGTTTATGTTATATACTACACTTGTAGTGCCTTCTAAGCCACCCCGAATCCCTTTTAGGAGATGGTGGTGGAATATAAATAAAAATTATTATTATTATTTTACTGACACAAAAGCACAATATGTCACAACAAACAAGATCTATATGCTGGATTTCGTATCACAAAATCACAAGTCGAACACTTCCCAAGCATCTAGAACAATAGTTCTCAACCTGGGGGTTCTCAACCTGCAGGAATCTACAGAACCTGTCTTTTTCATAACTCAGAGACTGCATGTGTTCATATACTCAGCCCTCTTGGGTCGCATCTTGGAATAAAGCTGGGATTTAAATTAAATTAGTGATTGAGAAATGGGCTTGGAAGCCACAATCTGGAGACAGAAATAAATTAATCTTCCTCTTGGCCCATGGGTCACGAACGCAGCTCCCTTAGCATTTAAATGCAAGAAGTAATTAAATGCTGTATGTACTTACCCAAGAAAGGGAACAATTACTTTTTCACTATCTTATTTAAATATTTAATAACTGGGCCAGCAAGGATGTGGAGAGGACATGATTTTACACTGAAAGTCATCTTTTTTAATTAAGTAATTCTTGTTATTGGTGCGATTCTGGGTTCTTTCCGTCAAAGCTATTTGTTTCTCGGTCAAGATTCAGGACTATAAATCTAGATTCAGATGGGAAATCTCCCAGTTGGCTCTCAGTTATGCTCAGAACTGTCCAGGGATACTAGTACAATATTTCTGTGAATTAGATAATAATAATAATAATAATAATAATAATAATAATAATAATAATACTTTATTTATACCACGCCACCATCTCCCCAAGGGACTCGGAGTGGCTTACATGAGGCCAAGGCCAACAATACATCAATAAACAAAAGCAATAAACAAAAACAATAAATACAATACAAGTAAAATAAATCACATATAAACAATAACCAATAAACAGTAACTCACAAAGATTTAAAAACCTATGGCCAGGCCAAATGTAAAGGTTTAAAATTAAAAAATAAGCGCTGGGTATGAACAAGATGTAGGGTTTTCAAAGAGAGATGAGGGAACGCAATCAAAAGATCAAAAGGGTTAACTTATTTGGACGACATTTTGCTTCTCCTGGCTGGATTTGGGAGCAAAATATTCTTTGCCATAGGACAGCCTTTCTCAACCTGGGGGTCAGGACTCCTTGGACAGTCATGAGGAGGTGTCAGAGGTGTCACCAAAGACTATTAGAAAATACAGTATTTTTTGTTGGTCATGGGGGTTCTGTATAGGAAGTTTGGCCCCAATTCTATTGTTGGTGGGATTCAGAATGCTCTTTGATAGCAGGTGAACTATAAATCCCAGAAGTACAATTCCCAAATGTCAAGGTTTACTTCCCCCTAAACCCCACCAGTGTTTACATTTGGGCATATTGAATACCATATATACTCGAGTATAAGCCGACCTGAATATAAGCCGAGGCACCTAATTTTACCACAAAAAACTGGGAAAATGTATTGACTTGAGTATTAGCCATGGGTGGGAAATGCAGCAGCTACTGGTAAATTTCAAAATAAAAATAGATACCAATAAAATTATATTAATTTAGGCATCAGTAGGTTAAATGTTTTTGAATATTTACATAAAACTGTAATTCAAGATAAGACTGTCTAACTCCGATTAAACCATTATTCTAACCTTCTTCAATGTAAATATGCTTACATGCCCTCCAATAATAATAGAATAAAATAATAAATGTAATAAGTGTCAGAGATTGGCGATCCCCAACGGAAGGAATGCTAGATCAAGCAGACACTGAGTTGCAAAATAAGGACTCTGCAGGCTTTGAGTTACAAAAGAAACTAAGTTTACTAAGTACATACAACAGACACGTCTTTCTACAGCGAGCTACAATTCAGCAAGAACAAAGAACTAGTCAAAACCGAAAGCCTCTTCACATCTGCTTATCTTCTTTTGCTGAGACTGGCAACTCCCTTCTGTTTTCAGCAAGAACAAACCTTATCTTACTTTTTCAAGTTCACTTAATCACAGCCTTAAAGTATAAACATTTCTGCATGGCATTTTCAATTCACAGTGGCATCCATCTTGGAAATACATAGAAGCACATTGAAAAACACATACATAACTAAATTAATCCTGGCAATAAGAACAATAATAGAGTAAAATAATGAATGTAATAATAACAACAATAATAAAATAATACATGTAATAATAATAATAACAACAAGAATGTAAAATAATAAATAATATTGACTCGAGTATAAGCCGGGGGAGACTTTTTCAGCCTAAAAAAAGGACTGAAAAACTAGGCTTATACTCGAGTATATACAGTATTTGTGCCAAGTATGGTCCAGATCCATCATTGTTTGACTCTACAGTGCTCTCTGGATGTAGGCCAGCTGCAACCCCAAAACTCAAGGCCAACGTCGACCAAACTCTTCCAGTATTTTCTGTTGGTCATGGCAGTTCTGTGTGCCAAAATTTGGTCCAATTCCATTATTGGTGGAGTTCAGAATGCTCTTTAATTGTAGGTGAACTATAAATCCCAGCAACACCATCTCCCAAATGACAAAATCAATCCTTCTCCCCCAACCCCACCAGTATCCAAATTTGGACGTTTCGGGTATTTGTGCCAAATTTCATTCAGTGAATGAAAATACATCCTGGATATCTGATATTTACATTATTCTTCATAACACTAGCAAAATGACAGTTCTGAAGTAGCAGTGAAAATAATGTTATGGTTGGGGGGTCACCACAACATGAGGAATTATATTAAGGGGTCGTCACATTGTAAAGGTTGAGATCCACTGCCATAGGAAATCATGAGATTACAAGCCATATAAGTTAGTTTATCAGCACCCAGTTCTGCTCTTTGTGTACTTCGTTTCCTGTCGCATCTCATTGTTTCCGTATATATTTCTTGGCAGGTTTGCAGCGGGACGGATGAGGACCCAGACGACAAAAACACACCGTTTCGCCAGCGGCCCTTTTGCAAATACAAAGGGCACACGGCAGACCTCCTGGATTTGTCCTGGTCGAAAGTGAGTTGTTGTTGTTGTTGTGCTTTCATATAATGTCAGGCTCACATCAACCCAAAGGTTGGACCTATCATGTGATCTTTGTGGCCTTTCTCAGCTGTTTCAGGCTCCTCCTTTTTTTTTTAATAACAGGAAACACGAATATATATGTGTGTGTGTGTGTATATAATATATATATATATATCTCGAACATTTTTACCCCACCCTTCTCAACCCCTGGGGGGGACTCAGGGCGGCGTCCAATTGGCAACAATATGATGCCGCATCATAAAATACAGAACAGCAATTATAACAGTTAAAAACATTAAGATATAAAAATTAAAACAGTATACTTACAGTCCATTGAGCTATTACCAGTCTGGTGGCTTTTTATCTAGCCATATACTATTGAGTAGTCTGCTTAACTTATCCAAATCCACTTCCAAGCCATAGTCAAACATTATCAATTATCCTTTAACCTAGTTGACCGAAGGCCTGGTCCTACATCCATGTTTTTACATTCTTTCTAAAGGTGAGGAGGGATGATGATGACCTAATTTCCCCGGGAAGTGAATTCCACAGGCAGGAGGCCACCACCGAGAAGGCCCTGTCCCTCATCCCCACCAACCGTGTTCTGCTTCCATTTCTATATTTTTAAAAAGACCTCTCCTTGAGGCGCTAGAACAGTGGTTCTCAACCTTCCTAATGCCACGACCCCTTAATCCAGTTCCTCATGTTGTGGTGACCCCCAACCATAACATTGTTTTCGTTGCTACTTCATAACAGCCATTTCACTACTGTTATGAATTGTCATGTCAATATCTGATATGCAGGATGTATTTTCATTCACTGGACCAAACTGGGCACAAATACCCAATACCCCCAAATGTGAATACTAGTGGGGTTGGGGGAGGATTGATTTTGTCATTTGGGAGTTGAAGTTTCTGGGATTTATAGTTCACCTATAATCAAAGAGCATTCTGAACTCCGTCAGCGATGGATTTGAACCAAACTTGGCACACAGAACTCCCATGACCAACGGAAAACACTGGAAGGGTTTGGTGGGCATTGACCTTGAGTTTGGGAGTTGTAGTTCACCTACATCCAGAGAGCACTGTGGACTCAAACAATGATGGATCTGGACCAAACTTGGCACGAATACTCAATATGCCCAAATATAAACACAGATGGAGTTTGGGGAAAATAGACCTTGACATTTGGGAGTTGTAGTTACTGTTCACCTACAATCAAAGAGCATTCTGAACCCCACCAACGACAGAATTGGGCAAACTTCCCACACAGAACCCCCATGACCAACAGAAAATACTTAAGGCCATCCAGTCCAACTCCCTTCACTAGGGCAAGAAAACGTAATCAAAGCCCTCCTGACAAAGATCTCTCCGGCCATACATATAGATAGATATGATTCACACACACACAGATATAGTATCATAGATTTGAAAGGGACCCCTAAAGAAGGACAATTATATGTTGCATGTTCCAGAGTAGGCAAACCAGACCATCTCCACATCAACACTGACAAAGAAACAACAAGAAATACTGTTTATCCACAAGCAGAAAGAAATTACATACATTAGAAACCAAGACTTTCTCATTACTTTATTTTCCAGATCAACAGTCTGGGCCAGCTAGTACACTTTATAACAAAACTTGAAAAATGTTCTGTTCCTGGTTTGAAGGTGTTATTTCTTGATTAATTGTGCGGTCCTTACTTTGAAAGTAATTGTTTTGCTGCAGAAACTTTGTTTTTGAGGTTGCCGCAACCTCTGATGAATTGTTTGAGATGCAATGAGATATTCATTGAAAAATGATAGCAAAGTTTCTGTAGTTTTATAAACTTTTACCATATTGTTATGATAGAACCAATTAGGAAATGACATTTATAACCCAGGAACAAAAATCGTGTTACAGAGTGTAATCCATGCTGTTTCTCTCCCCTCCAGAACTACTTCCTGCTCTCCTCCTCCATGGACAAGACGGTCAGGCTCTGGCACATCTCCCGGAGGGAGTGCCTCTGCTGCTTCCAGCACATTGACTTTGTCACCGCCATCGCCTTCCATCCCAGGGTAAGGAAGCAAGGAAGGAAGGCGCTCCCTCCTTCTCCCTATACGTGGAACTGACCTGGTTTTTAACCTACTTTACAATATTAAATATGGATAGAATGGGAGACATGTTGAAGGAAAGGGGAATTGTGAGGATGGTGCAAATGGTACTAATGACTGAATATGCACTTTGGGTGAATGAACAGCCAAACCCATGGATCTGGGCTTTTTGCAGACCTGAAAGCTAATCAAAGTACAGGAATACTGGTTTTCACGATATTTTATTGGCTTTAATTACAGTATGTATTTTTAATTCCATACTCCTATATTTAATGGAGCCCCCAGCGGCTCAGTGGGTTAAACCACCAAGCTGCTGCACTTGCTGACCGAAAGGTTGGCGGTTTTAATCTGGGGAGTAGGGTGAGCTCCTGCTGTTCGCCCTGTAACGATGGCCACCAATTTGTAAAGAAGCCACCAGTTTGTAACGGTTTTGTAAAGATGCCACCACTTTGTAAGAGCTTATTAAATTGATAGCGTAGCTAATAGCTAGTAATATTGATTTGGTCAGGACCCCAGTGGGGGTCGCGAGGCGGTGTCAGAGGGGTCACCAAAGACAAACAGAAAACATAGTATTTTTTGTTGGTCATGGGGGTTCTGTGTTGTAAGTTTGGTCCAATTCTATCGTTGGTGGGGTTCAGAATGCTATTTTATTGTGGGTGAACTATAAATCCAAACAACTACAACTCCCAAATGGCAAGGTCTATTTTCTCCAAACTCTACCAGTGTTCACATATGGGCATATTTAGTATTTGTGCCAAGTTTGATCCAGATCCATCATTGCTTGAGTCCATAGTGTTCTCTGGATGTAGGTGAACTACAACTCCAAAAACTCAAGGTCAATGTCCTCCAGATCTTCCCAGTATTTTCTCTTGGTCATGGGAATTCTGTGTGCCATGTTTGATTCAATTCTATCATTCATGGAGTTCAGAAGGCTCTTTGATTTTAGGTGAACTATAAATCCCAGCAACTCTAGCATTACCAAGTGACAAAATCAATCACCCTCAACCCCACCAGTATTCAAATTTGGGGTGTATCTGGTATTTGTGCCAAATTTGGTCCAGTGACTAAAAATGCAACCAGCATATCAGATATTTACATTACAATTCATAAGAGTAGCAAAATTACAGTTATGAAGTAGCAATGAAAATAATGTTATGGTTGGGGGTCACCACAACATGAGGACCTGTACTAAGGGGTCGTGGCATTAGGAAGATTGAGAAACACTGGTGTAGCGTGACTTAACTTGGAAAGGATTTGTAACAGAGACCGGGCTTTATAAGAAACTGTAACAAGTTTATTGAAATGTAGCAGAAGCTTGATGGTTTCAATGTTTCTTGACTCTTAGAGGCACGTATCTTCAGAGGTTGCATTTATAACATTCCTTAAAACAACTCTGGAAAGGACTCTTCCTTCTACTAAATAGGTTTCAAACTTATTTTTCTTCAAACTGTGTTTCTAGATTACTTCAGATACAAGCTTATTCTATCTTTGTGATATTTCTGTTGCAAATAAGATTCTCGCTGGGTTTCTCTCACCCCTTCTACTCATACACTAACTACTAATATAAATAAGTCAACTCGACTTATCTAAACTACCTAGGCTAAAAGCCAAAACCTTCCTGATTCTCACTACAGTAGAATCAGCCTTTTCCTGTAGTTTTTAAACTACAGATTACCTTCCTGGTTCTCACTACTACAGAACCAGCCACTCCTGCAGTTCACAGACTGCAGACTGACCGTCTTAAAATGGCTGCCCTGCCAAGTGGCAGTTGGCTTCCGCCCTTTTTTCCATAGCAACCTCGCTCAAAGTGAGCTGATCTGGCTACCATCCCCCCTCAGTTATGCAACTTTAAATACTTATCCTTTCAGACGTCTATCTATAACTATACATAACAGTAGATTAAAATTTACACTTCACCACAGCCCCAGCTTCTGCCAACCTAGCAGTTTGAAAACTTGCAAACGTGAGTAGATCAATAGGTACCGCTTTAGCATAGAATCCTATAATTGGAAGAGACCTCATGGGCCATCCAGTCCAACCCCTGCCAAGAAGCAGGAAAATTGCATTCAAAGCACCCCTGACAGATGGCCATCCAGCCTCTGTTTAAAAGCTTCCAAAGAAGGAGCCTCCACCACACTCCAGGGCAGAGAGTTCCACTGCTGAACAGCTCTCAAAGCTTGCTCCCTCCTCCCTGTGACTTCCTCTCACATATTTATACATGACTATCATGTCTCCTCTCAGCCTTCTCTTCTTCAGGCTAAACATGCCCAGCTCTTTAAGCCGCTCCTCATAGGGCTTTTTCTCCAGACCCCATCATCATTTTAGTTGCCTTCCTCTGGACACATTCCAGCTTGTCAACATCTCCCTTCCATTGTGGTGCCCAGAATTGGACACAATATTCCAGGTGTGGTCTACGGACAACGTTGACTCTTCAGCTTAGAAATGGAGATGAGCACCAATCCCCAGAGTCGGGCATGTCTAGACTTAACGTCAAGGAGAAATTTTTACCTTTATGTTTAATTCTATTTTAGTGTTCGTAGGCTTTAATTTGTCCATTGTATGGATTACACTATGTAACACAATTTTTGTTCCTGGGCTATCAATGTCATTTCCTAAAACCAATTAGGAAATGACATTTACAACCTAGGAGCAAAAAATCATGTTACATAGTGTAATTTGAAATTACACAAAACTGTAGAAGACTGGATGGCCCATGAGGTCTCTTCCAACTCTTTGATCCTATGATCCTATGACTTCAAAGGGTTGCTGTCAATACTCCTTTCCTTGTGGCATTCCCTTTCATCTGTGTGTGTTGTGTGTGTTTATTTTCTGGTGATTTTTTGATTTATTTTTTTTAGGATGACAGGTATTTTCTAAGCGGCTCGCTGGACGGGAAGCTCCGGCTCTGGAACATTCCTGACAAAAAGGTGGCACTCTGGAATGAGGTGGACGGCCAGACCAAGCTCATCACAGCAGCCAACTTTTGCCAGAACGGAAAATATGCTGTGATCGGGACCTACGATGGTCGGTGCATCTTCTATGACACAGAGGTGAGTCTCCCCTTTGGGGGATTGACTTCGGCCATTTGTTTCAAGGCAGAAACTATAAGAATACACCTCATGCCACAACCCTTCCCCAATCCACATTTTCTTGTCTCCTGAGGTCTCTGTGCTGTTTTCTGGCAGAGTGATTTTCTGGCAGAGTAACCCTATGTAATACGATGCTAGTTCCTGGGTTATATGTCAGACTACACAGAGAAGCCACTGAAATCCACAAGCATGTGGACAATTTCAACAGAAAGGAGAAAACCATGAAAATGAACAAAATCTGGCTACCTGTATTAAGAAAAAAACTCTAAAATTACAACAGCAAAACAGCAGAAACAACCAGGCACATCTTAACACCTCTCAACAGAACATTTTCCCAGGCTCAGCCAAGCCTTCAAATGCTAATGAAGGTGGTCAGTTGAAACATTCACACCTAGCTCCAGCAGACAAGAGTCCTTTGTCCCACCCTGGTCATTCCACAGATATATAAACCCTTTTTCCTAGTTCCAACAGACCTCACTACCTCCGAGGATGCTTGCCATAGATGCAGGCAAAACGTCAGGAGAGAATGCCTCTAGACCATGGCCATATAGCCCGAAAAAACCTACAACAACCCAGTGATTCCGGCCATGAAAGCCTTCGACAATACATAGATACCACATAATGTTTGGAAAGCTCTGTAGTGGATCATCTCCAGAATCAACAGCTACCTCCATCCCTTGAAAGCTCCTCAGCCTTCCATCCCAAGCTTGTGAGTCTTCCTCTGATGGCCAGGTGAACTGTTGTATGCCAAATACAAAATGCAAAAATACAGAATGGGGGACAATGCCTGGCTTGAGAGCAGTACGTGTGAAAAAGATCTTGGAGTCCTCGTGGACAACAAGTTAAACATGAGCCAACAATGTGATGTGGCAGCAAAAAAAGCCAATGGGATTTTGGCCTGCATCAATAGGAGCATAGTGTCTAGATCTAGGGAAGTCATGCTCCCATGCTCTATTCCGCCTTGGTTAGACCACACCTGGAATATTGTGTCCAATTCTGGGCACCACAATTGAAGAGAGATATTGACAAGCTGGAATGTGTCCAGAGGAGGGCGACTAAAATGATCAAGGGTCTGGAGAACAAGCCCTATGAGGAGCGGCTTAAGGAGCTGGGCATGTTTAGCAGAAGAGAAGGCTGAGAGGGGATATGATAGCTATGTATAAATATGTGAGAGGAAGCCACAGGGAGGATGGAGCAAGCTTGTTTTCTGCTTCCCTGGAGACTAGGACGCGGAACAATGGCTTCAAACTACAAGAAAAGATTCCATCTGAACATGAGGAAGAACTTCCTGACTGTGAGAGCCGTTCAGCAGTGGAACTCTCTGCTCCCAGAGTGTGGTGGAGGCTCCTTCTTTGGAAGCTTTTAAACAGAGGCTGGATGGCCATCTGTCAGGGGTGCTTTGAATGCAATATTCCTGCTTCTTGGCCGAATGGGGTTGGACTGGATGGCCCATGAGGTCTCTTCCAACTCTTTGATTCTATGAGTCTAAATACAATGTTGTCTTCCATTTCCCTGCCCTTTTTAGCATCTGAAGTACCACACGCAGATCCATGTCCGGTCGACCAGAGGACGGAACCGAGTCGGGAGGAAGATCACAGGCATCGAGCCCTTGCCGGGGGAGAACAAGGTATCCCTCCTTGTTGGTCCGATCAAATGTGTAGCTTTGATAGAAGTGTTCATGTGAGTATAGATTGGAGTATTAGTTTTTTTTAAAAAAAACTCTAAAATCAGGACAGTAAATAAAGAGCAACACTCAAAAAGCAGGGGAATTCCAGAAAGAATTAATCAGGGCCATCTAACACCTCCCAACAAAGGATTCCCCTTTGTTGGGAGGCTTTTAATCTGTATTGCTGTTTTAATTTTTTTGTAATTTTATATGGTATCTTCATTGTTATGAGCACGATGCAGCATTGCTGTAGATTGTAAGCCGCCCTGAGACCCCTACGGGGTGAGAAGGGCGGGGTATAAATATAGTTTAATTTTTTTTTGTTTTGTTTTTTTGTTGTGTCAGGAGAGACTTGAGAAACTGCAAGTCGCTTCTGGTGTGAGACAATTGGCCGTCTGCAAGGACGTTGCCCAGAGGACGCCCGGATCATTTGATGTTTTTGTCATCCTTGTGGGAGGCTTCTCTCATGTCCCCGCATGAGGAGCTGGAGTTGATAGAGGGAGCTCATCCGCCTCTCCCCAGATTTGAAGCTGCGACCTGTCGGGTCTTCAGTCCAGCCGGCCCAGGGGTTTAACCCACTGCGCCACTGGGAGCTCCAATATATAGTTAATAATAAATAAATAATAATTCCCCAGGAAGCAACAGCCAGGCTTTGAAGCTGCAAGGCCATTAAATGCTAATCAAGGTGGGCAATTGCAAATCAGGACAGTAAATAAAGAATAACACTCTGAAAACAAGGGAATTCCAGTCAGGAAACAATCAGGGCCAGCTAACACCTCCCAAGAAAGGATGCCTCCAGGCAGGAAGCAGCCAGGCTTTGAAGCTGCAAGGCCATTAAATGCTAATCAAGCTGGGCAATTGCAAATCATGACAGTAAATAAAGAGTAACACTCTGAAAACAAGGGAATTCCAGTCAGGAAACAATCAGGGCCAGCTAACACCTCCCAACAAAAGATGCCTCCAGGCAGGAAGCAGCCAGGCTTTGAAGCTTCAAGGCCATTAAATGCTAATCAAGCTGGGCAATTGCAAATCATGACAGTAAATAAATGACTCTGAAAACAAGGGAATTCCAGTCAGGAAACAATCAGGGCCAGCTAACACCTCCCAACAAAAGATGCCTCCAGGCAGGAAGCAGCCAGGCTTTGAAGCTGCAAGGATATTTAGTGCCAATTGCAGCATTCACACTTGAAAATGCATTGGAAAAATACTTTGATCCAGGAAGTGGGACTTTTATGTTTATTCTTTGGTGGAAGATATCCGCAGGGAGTTTATAGTAAGTGGGACATAATGCAAACACAAAGGTAGAATTCTAACCCCCTTCCTCCCAAAAAAGAGATATTTTCCATATTCATCCCCACTTCAAACGCAGGCAGCAGACAGGATGACTCACCTCCAGCTTTGGAAACTGTCTGCTCTCAGAGATGGAAAGGCAGGTGTGTTGTGTCTTTCATCTTGCATTTCTTGGCTGACGGGAATGGGTTTGACTCCTCTTTGCCAGATCCTGGTGACCTCAAACGACTCCCGGATCCGGCTCTACGACTTGCGGGACCTGTCTCTGTCCATGAAGTACAAGGGCTACGTCAACAGCAGCAGCCAGATCAAAGCCAGCTTCAGGTAAGGGATGAAAGTGGGGGCTCCGCCGGAAAATGTCCCCCATGTTGTTTAACGTCTACATGAAGCCGCTGGGTGAGATCATCCAGAGTTTCGGAGTTCGATTCCATCTGTACGCAGATGACGTCCAACTCTATCACTCATTTCCACCAGATGCTAAGGCGGCTGTCCAAGTCCTGAACCGGTGCCTGGCCACTGTGATGAGGGCGAGCAAATTGAAGTTGAATCCAGACAAGACAGAGGTCCTCCTGGTCAGTCACAAGGCCGAACAGGGTATAGGGTCACAACCTGTGCTGGATGGGGTCACACTCCCCTTGAAGGCCCAGGTTTGCAGCTTGGGGGTCCTCCTGTATTCATCACTGATCCTGGAATCCCAGCAATGGCCAGGGGAGTGTTTGCACAATTAAAACTTGTGCACCAGCTGCATCCGTACCTTGGGAAGTCAGACTTGGCCATGGTGGTCCAAGCTCTCGTTACATCTAGGATAGACTACTGCAACACACTCTACGTGGGGTTGCCTTTGAAGACTGCTCGGAAGCTTCAAATAGTCCAACGAGAGGCAGCCAGGTTAATAACTGGGGCGGCATACAGGGAGCATACAACTCCCATGTTACGCCAGCTCCACTAGCTGCCAGTTTGCTACCGGGCACAATTCAAAGTGCTGGCTTAAGCCCTAAACGGCCCCGGCCCAAATTACCTGTCTGAACGCATCTCCCCCTATGAACCATCGCGGAGATTAAGATCCTCCGGGGAGGCCCTGCTTTCCAACCCACCATTGTCACAGGCACAATTGGTGGGGATGAGAGACAGGGCCTTCTCGGTGATTGCTCCATTATTTTACTCGATTACTATTATATTACATTTATTATTTTACTCTATTATTATTGGAAAGCTATGTAAGCACATTACATTGAAGAAGGTTAGAATAATGGTTTAATCAGAGTTGGGCAGTCTTATCTTAAATTACAGTTTTATGTAAATATTTCATCTACTGATGGCAAAATTAAGGTAATTTTATTGGTATCTATTTTTATTTTGAAATTTACCAGTAGATGCTGCATTTCCCATCCTCGGCTTATACTCAAGTCAATACCTTTTCTCAGTTTTTTGTGATAAAATTAGGTGCCTCGGCTTATATTCGGGTAGGCTTATACTTGAGTATATACGGTATATAATTGTATTATATATGTATTATATGACACCCTTTTAAGGGGTTTGCCAGTAAAACCGAAAGGAGGCATGTCTCAAAAGCCTGTCACTGACATGAAAAGTTTGGAAAGCTCTGTTCCAAGTCATAAGAAGAAATGAGGACAACTGAAGACGTGTAGATGACGGGTTCTTGTCTTCTCTCTTTCTCCAGCCATGACTTCACTTATATCGTCAGCGGCTCTGAGGACAAATACGTTTACATCTGGAGCACTTACCACGACCTGAGCAAGTTCACCTCCGTCCGGAGGGACCGCAATGATTTCTGGGAAGGAGTCAAAGGTGCAAAATATATAGTTTTCTGTACAAAAATACTGAACTAGATTTCCATTGTTGCAAAAATATTTGCAAACATCTCCAAATGTGCAAAACCCAGTTGATTTTTTCGTTTATGGGATAGAGAGCCTTTTCTCCCTCTCTCTTCCAAGTATGATGATGGTAATAATAATAATAGTATAGTAATAATGAAGATAAATAATAATATATTATACAGGGTATCCCAAAAAGCCTCCATAACTGGATAAATTAACAAACTCATATTACATATTATTTTTTTAAAAGAGTTGACCAACACATAGAGAATATTTTGTAAATATTTTGAAATTGCTATTATGTAAATAAAGGTATATTTAGCTATAATTTTCTGTGTATGTCAACTTTTGGGAGACCCTGTATGTTATACATATATAAATGTCTGTGTTCACAATTGCAGTATATAAAATATGATAGATATAATAATACAATATAGTATTACATATAATACTGTATTATTATTAATATTGCTATTTGAAACGCAACAAGATGATATAGTATTACATATAATACTGTAATATATTATTATTATTATTATTATTATTATTATTATTATTATTACTATTTGAAACACAACAAGATGATATAGTATATAATACTGTAATATATTATTATTACTATTACTACTATTTGAAACACAACAAGATGATATAGTATTACATATAATACTGTAATATATTATTATTATTATTACTATTTGAAACACAACAAGATGATATAGTATTACATATAATACTGTAATTTATTATTATTATTATTATTATTACTACTACTACTACTACTACTACTACTATTTGAAATACAACAAGATGAGTCCACAGCTGGCTTTTGTATTGGATCACACTTCGGACACTTCTCAAGTGTCTAGGACTGTGGGATGTATCGGCGAATAATGCGCGCAGATCCCAGTAAGGTGGCCTTCTGCAGCTGGCAGATGATAATTTTGTCAGCACCAATTGTGTTTAAGTGCAGGCCAAGGTCCTTAGGCACTGCACCCCGTGTGCCGATCACCACTGGGACCACCTTTACTTGTTTGTGCCAGAGTCTTTGCAGTTCGATCTTTAAATCCTCATATTGTGTCAGCTTTTCCAGTTGTTTCTCTTCAATCCTGCTGTCACCTGGGATTGCGACATCGACGATCCATACTTTGTTTCTTAACATGATCGTGTTTTTTAACATGATTGTGAGGTTTGTCTGAATCCGGAAGTCCCAGAGAAGTTTGGCATGTTCATTCTCTATAACTCTTTCCAGCTTGTGATCCCACCAGTTCTTTGTCGCAGGCAGATGGTATTTGTAGCACAAGTTCCAATGAATCATCTGAGCAATAGTGTTGTGCCTCTGCTTGTAGTCTGTCTGTGCAGTCTTCTTGCAGCAGCTGAGGATGTGATCTATTGTTTCATCTGCTTCCTTGCAGAGTCTACACTTGGGATCTGTCACTGACTTTTCATTTCTGACTTTGATGGCATTGGTTCTAATGGCTTGTTTTTGGGCTGCCATTTGTTGTTGTTATTATTATTATTATTACTACTATTATTATTGTGTCATGTCAAATGGGCCTTAATTACAATTTTACCTTTTCCCCCAAAAGGTAAATTTTATTTATTTATTTACGACATTTATATACCGCCCTTCTCACTCCGAAGGGGACTCAGAGCAGCTTACAAGATATATATTTACATACAATATATTATATTATTAGCATAGTACAATATCAGCATTAAACATTGCTATATTGCACCATATCACTATATTGTAATATTACATGTAATATTACATGTAATATAAATATATAATCATAATATCATATTATTATTATATTGCATTATATTATAATATTATAAATATTATATGTATATACAGTATATTATATTACATTATTAGAATAGCACAGGAGACAAGGTGGAACAAGGTGAACCTATTATTATTATTATTATTATTATTATTATTATTATTATTATTATTACAGTTTCCCCATGCATGGAGATTTTTGGGACACTGTACATTACAATATATTATATTACATTATTAGAATAGCACAGGAGATAAGGTGGAACAAGGTGTACCTATTATTATTATAAGTGCTGGTGTTGACCTATAAAGCCCTAAACGGCTCTGGCCCAGTTTACCTGTCCGAACGGATTCTCCCCTATGAACCATCAAGGCTATTAAGATCTTCCGGGGGGGCCCTGCTCTCGGTCCCACCACCCTCACAATCACGGCTGGTGGGGACGAGAGACAGGGCCTTCTCGGTGGTGGCTCCCCGGCTTTGGAACTCCCTCCCACTAGAGGTTAGATCTGCCCCCTCCCTCCTGACGTTCAGGAAATCGTTAAAAACATGGCTCTGGAATGCGGCATTCAAAGACTGAACCTAGAACCTTCCCTGTGATGAATTATGATGAACTGTGACTATGAATATGATTATGACCATGACTGGATTGACGATTTGGCGTAGGAAACTGTAATGATGTAATGATGAGGTTTTTATTGTACTGAGTTGTACTATTTTAATATGTAATGATTTGTATTTGCTGTTTTATATGATTGTATTTGATATGCACTGTAAACCGACCTGAGTCCCTCGTCGAGGTTGAGAAGGCCGGTATAGAAATCTTCTAAATAAATAATAAATATTATTATTATTATTATTATAGTTTCCCCATGCATGGTGACTTTTGGGACACTATACATTACAGTATTCGATATAATATTGTAATATTATATCTATCATATTGATATACTGTGATTTATTCACTCACACACTTACTATTAACACCAGAATAATTGATCTATAAAAGGACATTTTGGGAAAACTAACCAAACACAAATGCAATGTCCTACAAAACAAAAAGGGAAACCTAAAAGCATTGGCTTTTGAGATGGTAGCACTGGACTACAATTCCCATGCTATGAAGAGGTTGATGAGACTGACTTCAAGCTGGACAAAGTGCCAGCCAGGAGTCCTCTGTTGAATGTTTCCCATCAGAATGGTATCCCCCAGTTGCCCTTACCTGGTTCTTCTCGTTCTTCGTGCCCCTTCTCGTTCTTTTCCCTGATGGGTTTTCCCTTTTCCCAGCCCACAATGCCGTGGTCACGTCGGCCATTTTTGCCCCGAATCCCAGCTTGATGGTGTCCTCGGAAACGTTGGAGAAGCCGGAGCCTGAGGCCAAAAGCGAAGATTCGGAGTCTGGAGACCCCATCCCTTCTGGTAGGTGCTTCCACAATCAGGGCTTCCTTCCTTTCGAGGTACCGGATAGGGATCTGACTTCGCCCTACAATTCCCAGCAGCCCTAGAGATTGGCACAAGCGATGGGGGATAGCCATATTTATTCAATTATAAGACACCATTGACAGTAGGACATACTATAATCTCAGTAGTTGTCCGAGTAGGGTAGCCTTCCAAGATCAGTGTCCTGGTGGGTCCGTAGGTGAGTGTGGAGCCCTATTCTTGATCTGCATCTTCTCCTGTGATGAGGGCATTGCTTTCCAGGTGGAAGGTGGTCTCAGTCAGGGTTAGCTTGACGCGCCTTCCTCTTGGCACGTTTCTTGCCCTTCATTCGTGCCTCTTCAAATTCTGCAGCACTGCTGGTCACAGCTGACCTCCAGCTGGAGCGCTCACAGGCCAGGGCTTCCCAGTTCTCAATGTCTATGCCAGAGGTTTTAAGGTTGGCTTTGAGCCCATCTTTAAATCTCTTTTCCTGTCCACCAATATTCCATTTTCCATTCTTGAGTTCGGAGTAGAGCAACTGCTTTGGGAGACGGTGATCGGGCATCCGGATAACGTGGCTGGACCATCGCTTCAGTGCAGGTGGTCTTTGCTTCTTCCAGTAAGGAGTGCTCCTTACTCAGTGCTTGGCTGCAGGCCCTGCCAGGCTACGTGCCCTGGCCTGGCAGGGCTTGCAGCCAATTGTAAGCCAAAGAGCGTCTTACAAGTAAAAAGTAAATACAATATATTATATTATTACCATAGCACAATATTAATATTATATATTACATTGTACTATAACATTATACTGTAATATTATTAGTAATTTTACATTTAATATAAAATATATAATTATAATATATTATTAGTAGTAGCATTATATTGCATTACATTATAATATTATCAGTATTATATGTAAATACAATATATTATATTACTATATATACTCAAGTATAAGCCTAGTTTTTCAGCCCCCTTTTTAGGCTGAAAAAGTTCCCCTCGGCTTATAGTCGAGTCAAGGTTATTTATTATTTTACTTTGTTATTGGTATCATTTTATTACATGAATTATTTTAATATATTAATTATTATTATATTTACATCACTTTACTCTATTATTATTTTATTACATTTGTTATTTTACTCTATTTATTATTAGTATTATTTATTTACTCTTTATTATTATTACATTTATTATTTTACCTTATTGTTACTGCATTTATAATGTTACAGTTATCACTGTTATTACATTTCCATTATTTTACTCTATTATTATTATTATTATTATTATTATTATTATTATCCTGATACAAAAACACAGTAAGACACAGCAAACGAGGTATATATGCTAGATTTCATTATTATTATTATTATTATTATTATTATTATTATTATTTTACTATCTTTATTATTATTGGAAGGATACATAAGCACATTTACACTGAAGATTAGAATAATGATTTAATCAGAGCTGGACAGTCTTATCTTAAATTACAGTTTTATGTAAATATTCAAAAACATTTAACCTACTGATGCCTCAATTAATGTAATTTTATTGTATCTATTTTTATTTTGAAATTTACCAGTAGCTGCTGCATTTCCCACCCTCGGCTTATACTCGAGTCAATAAGTTTTCCCAGTTTTTTGTGGTAAAATTAGGTGCCTCGGCTTATATTCGGGTCGGCTTATACTCGAGTATATACGGTATATTATATTATATTATATTATATTATATTATATTATATTATATTATATTATATTGGAAGCAGAGTGCAGGAGACAAGATGGAACTGCCTTCCTGGCCCCTCTCTTCACTCTGATCTTCTTCCTTCCTATTAATCTACTCACACTTACATGTTTTCAAACTCTTTGGTTGGTAAGAAGCTGGGGCTAACAATGGGAGCTCATCCTGCTCCCCGGATCCGAACCGCCAATCTCTTGGTCAACAAGTTCAGCAGTTTAGCCCGCTGTGCCACCAGAACAAGAACATTATTTTATAGTGATTTTTTATAGGCAGCCTGTCTCCCATTATTTATTTATTTATTTAATTTATTTAATTTATTTATGTTATTATATATATATATATACACACACACACATACACACACACACACACACTGCCTTTCTCAGCTAATTGGCATCTCAAGGCGGTTTCCAACAAATCAGTATACATAAAACATAATATAGATAAAAAACATTAAACAGTATAAGACATCACAAAAGCAATAAAAGCAACATCATCAGCATCTCATTATTCTCAAGCATTGTCCAATTCCATTGTCAGGTCATTCGATTTCCTATATTAGCTACTCTGTATTTGTAAACGCTTGCTCGGACAGCCATGTTTTAACTTGCCTCCAAAACGTCAAGAGGGAGGGAGCAGATCTGATCTCCCATAGCCGAGGGGCCACCACTGAGAAGGCCCTGTCTCTCGTCCCCGCCAAACGTGCTTGTGACGAAGGCGGGACCGAGAGCAGGGCCTCCCGAGATGATCTTAAAGTCCTTAGTGGTTCGTAAGGGGAGATACTTTAGGACAGGTAAGTTGGGCTAGAACTGTTTAGGGCTTTATGGGTCAAAGCCAGCACTTTGAATAGGGCCCAGTAGCAAACTGGCAGCCAGTGGAGCTGGCGCAACAAGGGGGTTGTATGCTCCCTGAGCGCCACTCCTTTTAACAACCTGGCTGCCGTTTGTTGGACTAGTTGAAGCTTTCGGACCGTCTTCAAAGGCAGCCCCACGTAGAGAGCATTGCAGTAGTCTATACGGGATGTAACTAGAGTGTGGACTACCGTGGCCAAGTTAGGAGTCTCTCTCAACGGTCCTTCTCAAAATGGCTGCCGGAGTATCAATGGCAATGCTTCCCCGTTGCCATTTTGGGAGAGACCGCAGAGGAAAACACAAGGACCCTCTTTCCCTTAATGTCTAAGGTCTGCTCTTTTCAGGGGCGCTGAAGACAGACCACACCGAAGTGCTGCTCTCGGCGGACTTCACCGGCGCCATCAAAGTCTTCATCAACAAGAAGAAGGCAGTCTCGTAAAGCCATGTCTTGATGCCAGCGCATCATGCCTCCGACTGATAGATACGGCATTTGAAAAGCATATTCCGAACCCTTCCGTGCTAAGAGGCTTTCCTGGAAGCAGCACCGGCGCCATTCGCTCTCTTGGTTTCCACCTCGGTTTCCTTGAACGCCATCCTTTTGCTGAACCTAAAGGATGCCATGCGCCGGATTCTGTATTGAAGCGGCAACGAAATACTCTGTGCCTTGTGGAAAGGCACCAACTTGCACCAAAATTAGGAGCCAAATTCATTAATCATGGTGCCGAAGGGAAGAAGAGTTTGGCAAGGGGACATCATGTATTATTTTAATAATTTCTGCGCCATTTGAAGCGAGTCAGTTGCCCAAACGTATCAATATCCAGTTTGGAAAAATGGGTCGAGTTTGTGCTCGTTTTGCAACCGGATCCCTTTCCCGTTTTGGTGCGATTCCTCCCCTCGAATGGGTTTCGCTGCAATCACGTCGCCAAACGTTTCCTGACATGGGATGATGATTCTTCTTTCTCGTCGTCTTCTAATTATTGTGGACACTATAAATCCCTTTCTTAATATATATAACGACCCGGGTTTGTTTCTCCCGCCCCTTTTCCTTTGCACACTGGAGCACAATGTTTCTACGAAAGAGATCCTTCTCATTCCAGAGCACCGAGTTTATGCTCACCTTAAAGGAGATATTAGGAACGAATTCTTACGATGTAAAATAAAAACTGTTTACATATTTTTTTAAAAAGCATTGTAGTTTCAAATGTAGGTTTTGTTCTGTTCTCTCTCTCTCTGTTTTTGTTTAGAGCTAATTTGAATTTCAAAGGTCTTTGTAAATATTCACAAAGTTTTACCAATGATATGACATTTGGAAGGGAACCCAAAGCCCTCCAAATGTTGTTGATGGTTGACTATAAAAAGATGTATGATTAAAAATGGGTCGTTGGAAGAAATATTGCAATATTTGTCTTCCTGGTTTGTTTCATTTTTATCTTGCCCTTTTCCTGACACTAGGGACTCAAGATGGCTAATTTCTGTACTCAAAATTACATAGGTAAAGGTAAAGGTTTTCCCCTTGACATTAAGTTTAGATGTGTCCCGACTCTGAGGTGTGGTGTTCATCTCCATTTCTAAGCCAAAGAGCCGGTGTTGTCCATAGATGCCTTCAAGGTCATCTGGCCAGCATTACTGCATGGAGCACCATTCCCTTCCCACTGGAGCGGTACCTATTGATCTACTCACATTTGCATGTTTTCGAACTGCTAGGTAGGCAGAAGCTGGGGCTAACAGCAGGAACTCACCTCGCTCCCCAGATTTCAGCTGCCAACCTTTTGGGGGCCATTTATTATTATTATTATTATTATTATTATTATTGTTATTGTTATTGTTATTGTTATTGTTATTATTACCTCTCCTCAAGACTCAAGGTGGGATAGAAAATAGATTAGATCCATACTGCCATATATTATTATTATTATTATTATTATTATTATTATTATTATTATTATTAACATAAGATTAGTACACAGCAAAAAAGGTCAATATGCTGGCTGTTGTATTGAATCACCCCACTCCCTGGATTCGAACCACCAACCAGCAAGTTTAGCAGCTCAGCAGTTTAACCTGTTGTGCCACCGGGGGGCCATTTTATTATTATTATTATTATTATTATTATTATTACCTCTCCTCAAGACTCAAGGTGGGATAGAAAACAGAGTAGATCCATACTGCCATATTATTATTATTATTATTATTATTATTATTATTATTATTAACACAAGATTAGTACACAGTTCCATCTTGTCTCCTGTGCTAGTCTAATAATATAATACAGGTAAAGGTAGTCCCCTGATATTAAGTCCAGTCATGTCTGACTCTGGGGTGTGGTGCTCATCTCCATTTCTAAGCCGAAGAGCCAGCATTGTCCGTAGACACCTCCAAGGTCATGTGGCCGGCATGACTGCATGGAGCGCCGTTACCTTCCCGCCGGAGCGGTACCTATTGATCTACTCACATTTGCATGTTTTCGAACTGCTAGGTTGGCAGAAGCTAGGGCTGACAGCGGAAGCTCACGCCGCTCCCTGGAATCGAACCTGCGACCTTTCGATCAACAAGCTCAGCAGCTCAGTGCTTTAACCCACTGCGCCACCGGGGGCTCCATACTGCCATATATTATTATTATTATTATAAACACAAGATTAGTATACAGCAAAAAAGGTCACTATGCTTGCTGTTGTATTGAATCATCCCACTCCCTGGATTAGAACCACCGTCCTTTCGGTCAGCAAGTTCAGCAGCTCAGCGGTTTAACCTGTTGTGCCCCCAGATACTGGAAGGGGTTGGTGGGCATTGACCTAGAGTTTTGGAGTTGTAGTTCACCTACATCCAGAGAACATTATGGACTCAAACAATGTTGGATCTGGACCAAACTTGGCACGAATACTCAATATGACCAAATGTGAATACTGGTGGAGTTTGGGGAAAATAGACCGTCACATTTGGGAGTTGTAGTTGCTGGGATTTATAGTCCATTTATAATCAAAGAGCGTTCTGAACACTACCAGCAACAGAATTTGGCCAAACTTTACACCAGGGGTCCTCAAACTTTTTAAACAGAGGGCCAGGTCACAGTTCCTCAAGCTGTTGGAGGGCCAGATTTTAATTTGGAAAAAAAACATGAATGAATTCCTATGCACACTGCACATATCTTATTTGTATTGCAAAATACACTTAAAAACAATACAAAAATTAAAATGAAAACTTTAACAAATATAAACTTACTAGCATTTCAATGGGAAGTGTGGGCCTGCTCTTGGCTGCTGAGATAGGGTTGTTGTTGTTGTGTGCTTTCAAGTCGTTTCAGACTTAGGTTGACCCTGAGCAAGGGCCAGATAAATGACCCTGGAGGGCCGTATCCGGCCTCCGGGTCATAGTTTGAGGACCCCTGGTATAGTAAAATATAGTAATATTTAATACTGATATTGTGCAATGCTAATAATATATATTGTATGTATATATATCTTGTAAGCCGCTCCGAGTCCCCTTCGGGATGAGAAGGGCGGCATATAAATGTCATAAATAAATAATCCTCGTAGCTGAAGATGCTTGTCTGTTCTTAAGGTGAAAAGTATATGTCTGTGTTTTAGAGGGATTAGGAATCAGCTAGTTTCCCCTGTAATAGGCAGTAAGAAAATTTAAAGCTTCAGAGAGCTTTGGAGAGCTTGGGTTCTTGCTGCATGGGCGGTGAATCCTAGAGTTGGAAGAGACCTCATGGGCCATCCAGTCCAACCCTCTGCCAAGAAGCAAGAAAATTGCATTCAAAGCACCCCCAACAGATGGCCATCCAGCCTCTGTTTAAAAGCTTCCAAAGAAAGAGCCTCCACCACGCTCCGGGGCAGAGAGTTCCACTGCTGAACGGCTCTCACAGTCAGGAAGTTCTCATGTTGGTGATGGCACAATCATCAGCATAGATGAAACTCTCTGCCCCTTCTGTCAGTGGCTGGCCAATTAGGTAAATGTTAAACATCTCTCAGCTATGAAATGATACAGATGGTCAGGTCACTAAAAACAAAACAATCTTCTATATAAATAAAAATGTAATGTTAATTTGTGCTACCATCAGAACTCAAAAACCAGTGGGGGAATTGACACCAAATTTGGACACAAGACACCTAACAGTCCAATTTATGTCCTCCACTAAAAAAAATGATTTTGTCATTTGGGAATTGTCGTTGCTGGGATTTATAGTTGACCTACGATCAAAGAGCATTCTGAACTCCACCAATGATGGAATTGGGCCAAACTTAGCACACAGGGCTCCCATGACCAACTGGAAAGGTTTGGTGGACATTGACCCTGAGTTTGGGAATAGTTCACCCAAATCCTTAGAGCACTGTGGACTCAAACAATGATGGATCTGGACCAAACTTGGCACAAATATTCCATATGCCCAAATGTGAACACTGGTGGAGTCTGGGGAAAATACACCTTGACATTTGGGAGTTGTAGTTGCTGGGATTTATAGTTCACCTACAATCAAAGAGCATTCTGAACTCCACCAATGATGGCATACAGGATTTCCATAACCAACAGAACATACTGGAAGGCTTTGGTGGGCACTGACCTTGAGTTTGGGAGTTGTAGTTCACCTACATCCAGAGAGCACTGTGGACTCAAACAATGATGGATCTGGACCAAACTTGGCACAAATATTCCATGTGCCCAAATATGAACACAGATGGAGTTTGGAGGAAATAGACCTTGACATTTGGCATTTGTGGTTACTGGGATTTATAGTTCACTACAGTTAAAGAGCATTCTGAAACCCACAAACGACAGAAATGGGGCAAACTTCCCACACAGAACCCCCATGACCAACAGAAAATACTTAAGGCCATCCAGTCCAACTCTCTTCACCAGGGCAAGAAAATGAAATCAGCGCCCTCTTGACAAAGAGCCATCCAGTCATAAATATAGATAGATAGATATGATTCTCACACAGAGAGATATATAGTATCATAGATTTGAAAGAGACCCTTAAAGAAGGACTATGATATGTTGCATATTCCAGAGTAGGCAAACCAGACACTCTCCACATCAACACTGACAAAGAAACAACCAGAAATACTGTTTACTCACAAGCATAAAGGAATTACATATATTAGAAACCAACACTTTCTCATTACTTTATTTTCCAGATGACCAGACTGGGCCACAGCAATGCGTGGCAGGGGACGGCTAGTAATATAATATAATTGTGTGTATCTTGTAAGCCACTCTGAGTCCCCTTTTGGATGAGACGGGCGGCATATAAATGTCGTAAATAAATAAATAATCCTCATAGCTCAAGATGGTTGTCTGTTCTTAAGGTGAAAAGTATATGTCTGTGTTTTAGAGGGATTAGGAATCAGCTGGTTTCCCCTGTAATAGGCAGTAAGCTAATTTAAAGCTTCAGAGAGCTTTGGAGAGCTTGGGTTCAACCATTTCAAAGCTCCCTGCTTGGGTGGTGATGGCACGATCATCAGCATAGATGAAACTCTCTGTCCTTCTGGCAGTGGCTGGCCATTTCGGTAAATGTTAAACATCTCTCAGCTATGAAATGATATAGAAGGTCAGGTCAGTAAAACAAAACAAAACAAGATAATTAAAGAAGCAAAAGAATTTAAAAGCAGAAAAGGGCAATGCAGTGGTGCTGCCACTAGGTGGCGCCGTTTCACAACATTGTGGAATTTTCAGATTTTTGTGAAAACACTTATTTCTACAAACTATGGTTTCCTCCTAATATGGAAGATTTAGAAATATAAGGATTAATTGAGGGGGGGGGGTGGTCCCAAACACTGTCTAGTCTACTCCCCTAATAGATATGGTCCTTTTCATGTGTGGACTGCAATTCCCATCATCCCCACCCAAAATGCTTGCCAGGATTGATGGGAGTTGAAGTCCAAAGTATCCCCCAGTGGGCTGATACAAAGGATATTCTGCTGAAATCAACAAAGTTAGTGATTCTTCTAAAAGAGAGAAAAAAAATGTTGAAAAGCAATGTTCCAAATTAAAACAGAGCTAAAAGGGTGTGGCTCTGAGATCTGCTTTCTCATACTTCCGCTGGAAAGAGAAGTCAAATGGGGAAGTCAAGCCACAAGCCTTGCAGAAAAAAAATTGGCAGGGGGGTGCTAGAAGGGATCACTTCCCTCCCCCTCCCCAAAAAAAGGAACTTTTCCATAGAAAGTGTATAGAAAAGTTACTTCAGAGGGAAAGGGATTGCTCATTGAATTCCTTCCTAACATCTGGAGCCTCTCAAGCTTGGTTTTGAAGCCAAGGAGGGCTGGATCAGTTTTGCAGAGAGATTAAAACACCAAAGGGAGAGGGGGGGGCATCTCATTCCCCCTAATTAGGGTCCCAACAAAGGCAAGGGGTGCCCTTTCAAGCCCAGAAAGAAAGGGGTTCAAAGCAAACGGGGTGCATTTGAAGCTTCTCCAAACCGTGCGCTCTCTTGACTGCCTTGGAGAGAAAACAGAGGGTGGAGGAGAAGGAAAAGAGGGGGTAAAAGGAGTGGAAAGGGGGGCGTCTCCACCCCCCAACTGAGGTCAAAGCAAAGAGAAGGGGTCCCCCTTCAGGCCCAAAAAGAAAGGGGGTGACAGCTGAAAGGGACGCAAAAAAACACACCTCCCAAAAATGGGGTTCATTGGAGCCTCTCCAAACTGCGCTTTGGAAAGAAAAAGAGAGGCGCCGGAGGGGGAGAAAAGAGGGGGGCAAAAGGAGCAAAAAGGGGGTCTTCTCCTCCCCCTAATTGAGGTCCGAGCAAGGAGAAGGGATCTCCTTTCAGACCCAGAAAGAAAAGGAGTGGCAGCTGAAGGGGGTTCAAATAAGGGAGTCTCTCCAAACTGTGCGCTTTGGAGAGAAAAAGGCGCCGGAGGAGGAGGGAAAAAGGGGGGCCAAAGGGGCGGAAAGGGGGGCTTCTCCTCCCCCTAATTGAAGACCAAACAACAAGAAGGGGTCCCCTTTAAAACCCAGAAAAAAGTGGGGTGGCAGGTGAAAGGGACGCAAAAAAACACTCCCCTACATTAGAGCCTCTCCAAACGGTGCGCTTTGGAGAGAAAGAAAGGCGTCAGAGGCGGAAAGGGGGGGGGGGCAAAAGGGGCGGGAGAGGGAGTGTTTTTCCCCATAAACCTGGGTCCAGAGAAGGTAAAAGTGTCTCGTTTCAGACCAAGAAATAAACGGGGTGGCAGCTTAAAGGGTTTTAAAGAAATCGGGGTTCATTGGAGCTTCTCTAAACCGTGCGCTTTGGAGTGAAAGGCGGAGGAGGAAAAGAGGAGGGGGGCGCTGGGGGGGGAAAGGGAGACGTCTCCACCCCCCAATTGAGGTCAAAGCAAGGAAAAGGGGTCTCATTTCACGCCCAGAAATACAAGGGATGGCAGTCGAAAGGGGTTCAAAGAAACCGGGGTTCATTGGAGCCTCTCCAAACGGTGCACTTTGGAGAGAAAGAAAGGCGCCGGAGGAGGAGGAAGAAAAGGGGGCCAAAGGGGCGGAAAGGGGGGCTTCTCCTCCCCCTAATTGAGGTCAAAGCAAGGAGAAGGGGGCCTCTTTCACGCCCAAAAATACAAGGGGTGGCAGTCGAAAGGGGTTCAAAGAAACCGGGGTTCATTGGAGCCTCTCCAAACGGTGCGCTTTGGAGAGAAAGAAAGGCGCCGGAGGAGGAGGAAGAAAAGGGGGCCAAGGGGGCGGAAAGGGGGGCTTTTCCTCCCACTAACTAAGGTCCAAGCAAGGAGAAGGGGTCCCCTTTCAGGCCCAGAAATACAAGGGGTGGCAGTCGAAAGGGGTTCAAAGAAACCGGGGTTCATTGGAGCCTCTCCAAACTGTGCGCTTTGGAGAGAAAGAGAAAGGCGCCGGAAGAGGAGGAAAAAGAAGGGGCCAAAGGGGCAGAAAGGGGGCTTCTCCTCCCCACTAACTAAGGTCCAAGCAAGGAGAAGGGGTCCCCTTTCAGGCCCAGAAATACAAGGGGTGGCAGTCGAAAGGGGTTCAAAGAAACCGGGGTTCATTGAGCCTCTCCAAACGGTGCGCTTTGGAGAGAAAGAAAGGCGCCGGAGGAGGAGGAAGAAAAGGGGGCCAAGGGGGCGGAAAGGGGGGCTTCTCCTCCCCCTAATTGAGGTCCAAGCAAGGGGAAGGGGTCCCCTTTCAGACCTAGGGAAGATGGGGTGGTAGAAGAAAAGAGGGTTCTCCAAACGGGAGGAAAAGAGGGGTCCCCAAACGGTGCGCCTTGGCGTTTGCTCTGCCGGCCGCCCCTTCCTTTGTCTCTGCCGCCGCCCCCCGGCTCCTCCCTTTTGCCTGCCGCCCCTGCGAGGAAGAGAGGGAGGAGGGAAGGCCAAGACCCAGGCGCCCCTCCGAAGGAGGAGGGAGGGAAAGGCAGGAGGAGACGAGAAGGAGCCATGGCTGAAGTGCGCAAATTCACCAAGCGGCTGAGCAAACCGGGCACGGCGGCTGAGCTCCGGCAAAGCGTCTCCGAGGCGGTGCGAGGCGGATCCCCCGGGAGGGTAAGGGGTCCTTTTTTTTGGGGGGGGGGGGGGAGAACAAGAGAATGGTCCCTCCCAGGGGGCGCTCTGCACATGCCCAGAGGAATCTTCGCCTTTGTTGTGCCTCTGCTTGAAGGGAGACGGGTTGAGTGGCAAAGCTGGGGAAAAAGTGGGGATCCTCTCCCTCTTTCAGATTGGGGGGGGGGGGTCTGAAGAGGGGCGTGACAAGAGAAATGGCCAGAAGCATCAGAAAGGGGACTGGGAGCAGCATCGGTGAGACCTCCTTCCAATCTCCTTCCTCTGCTGGAGAAGACCCCTCCCCAAAAGGTCCCCCCATCTTCTTTCCTCCTCTGCCTTTTGGTTGGCATTTATGAGTGATGCCAGTCAAGGAGCCAAGACCCTCTCAGGTAACCCAGCTGGGCAGAATCAGTAGGAATCCTCCCCATCTCCTTCCTAGACTCTCTTCTTCAAGGAAAGCCCAAATGAGGTCCATCCCATCCTCTATTCCAGTTTTTCTCAACCTGGGGGTTGGGACCCCTGGAGGGGTCACAAGGGGGTGTCAGATGGGTCGCCAAAGACCACCAGAAAACACAGTACTTTCTGTTGATTGTGGAGGATCTGTGTGGGAAGTTTGGCCCAATTCTATCGTTGCTGGAGATCAGAATATTTGGTTCAGATCCATCATTGTTTGAGTGTACTGTGCTCTCCAGATGTAGGTGAACTACAACTCCAAAATTCAGGTCAATGCCCACCAAACCCTTCCAGTATTTTCTGTTGGTCGTGGGAGTTCTGTGTGTCAAGTTTGGTTCAATTCCATTGCTGGTGGAGTTCAGAATGCTCTTTGATTGGAGGTGAACTATAAAAAAGCACTAATATACTCCAGTTATCACTGGCCACTAGATAGGAGTCCTGGATACAGAGGCGGCCCTAGGTAATTTTCAACGGTAAGCAAACAGTATTTTTGCCCCCCCCCCCCCAACCAATCACTGATATATATTTTCTGTTCGTCGTGGGAGTTCTGTGTGCCATATTTGGTTCAATTCCATCATTGGTGGAGTTCAGAATGCTCTTTGATTGTAGGTGAACTATACATCCCAGTAACTACAACTCGCATATGTCAAAGTCTATTTTCCCCCAAGAGCGCCTCAAGAGTGCCCCTGGGCAAAATCAACTATACTGCAAATGCTTACTTTGCGTAATGGGTTGAGCCGCCCCTGTGTCAAGGTCTCTTTTCCTCAAACTCCACCAATGTTCACATTTGGGCATATTGAATATTCATGCCAAGTTTGGTTCAGATCCATCATTGTTTGAGTCCACAGTGCTCTCTGGATGTAGGTGAACTACAACTCCAAAACTCAAGGTCAATGCCCACCAAACCCTTCCAGTATTTTCTGTTGGTCATGGGAGTTCTGTGTGCCAAGTTTGGTTCAATTCCATTGCTGGTGGAGTTCAGAATGCTCTTTGATTGTAGGTGAACTATAAATCCCAGCAACTACAACTCCCAAATGCCAAGGTCTATTTTCCTCAAACTCCACCAATATTCACATTTGGGCATATTGAATATTCATGCCAAGTTTGGTTCAGATCCATCATTTATTTATTTATTTGGGGTTCTTTTACCCCGCCCATCTCACCCCGAAGGGGACTCAGAGTTTGAGTCTAGAGTGCTCTCTGGATGTACGTGAACTACAACTCCAAAATTCAATGCCCGCCAAACCCTTCCAGTATTTTCTGTTGGTCATGGAAGTCCTGTGTGCCAAGTTTGGTTCAATTCCATTGCTGATGGAGTTCAGAATGCTCATTGATTGTAGATGAACTATAAATCCCATCAACTGCAACTCCAAAATGACAAAATCAACCCCCCTAACCCCACCAGTATTCAAATTTGGGCATATTGGGTATTTGTGCCAAATTTGGTCTAGTGAATGAAAATACATCCTGCATATCGGATATTTACTATTCATAATAGTAGCAAAATGACAATTATGAAGTAGCAACAAAAATAATTTAATGGTTGGGGGTCACCACCACATGAGGAACTATATTAAGGGGTCGCGGCATTGGGAAGGTTGAGAACCACTGCTCTATTCTCCCAACTGGGCCTTTATGAGAAACATGCCCTGTCAAAAGATCCAAAACATTATTATTATTACATTTCCATTATTTTACTCTATTATTATTTCTATTACATTTATTATTTTACTTTATTATTATTTTAGTTTATTATTATTATTATTATTATTATTATTACATTTATTATTTTATCCTATTTATTATTATTATTACATTTATTATTTTACTCTATTATTACTGTTATTATCACCCCCTCAGCTTAGGTGGCTGAGGAGTAAAGGGAAGGGGCCTGAGGCTGTTAGGAATGGTGGGAGTCGGAGTCCAAAACTCCTGGAGGGACCAAGTTGGCCCATACGTGGTCTAAACCTTCCCAGTTTCACTAGTTCCCTTTGATCGTGCCTGTTTTCTCCTCTAATTGGTTTGGAAACAGATCAGGCAGAAAGGATGAAGGATGCTGAACTGCTCACTCACTCACGCCTCCTTCCGGAAAGGGCCCGGCCCTCTTGGCTGAATTCTCAGCCTGCATTATTTCCGCTCATATATACTATATCTCTCCCCCCCCCCCTTTTTTTTTTTTTTTTTTGGCCAAGGCAACAGAGCACTGTCAGAGCTTCATAAATTTCCACCCACTGCTTTGGCCAAATAGAGCTTTTTAAAAGGACAGAGCCATTAAAAGCTAGGTCCTAATATGTCTCCATGCCAAAACTGGCAAGTTAGGAACATCTTGTTTGAAGCCTTTCATGTCCAGAATGACTAGGTTGCTGTGAGTTTCCCGGGCTGTCTGGCCATGTTCCGGAAGCATTCTCTCCTGACGTTTCGCCCACATCTATGGCAGGCATCCTCAGAGGTTGTGAGCCCTGCTGGAAACTAAGCAAGGGGGGTTTATATATCTGTGGAATAATGTCCAGGGTGGGAGAAAGAACTCTTGTCTGCGTGAATGCTGCAATTGGCTACCTAGCTGGGCAAGTTTGGCCTGAAGAAGAGAAGGCTGAGAGGAGATATGATAGCCATGTATAAATATGTGAGGAAGTCAAAGGGAGGAGGGAGCAAGCTTGTTTTCTAAGAGCCGTTCAGCAGTGGAACTCTCTGCACCGGAGTGCCTTCTTTGGAGGTTTTTAAACAGAGGCTAGATAGCCATCTCTCAGGGGTGCTTTGAATGCAAAATTCCTGCTTCTACACATGAGGAGCTGGAGCTGACAGAGGGAGCTCTTCCGCGCTCTCCCCGGATTCGAACTTGCAACCTGTCGGTCTTCAGTCCTGCCGGCACAAGGGTTTAACCCACTGCGCCACCGGGGGCTCCTTATCTGAATTCAGAAACTGGGTTATATTGCAGTGTGGCTCCAGCCTGAGCAAGCTCTATCCTCAGGTCTTGCACACTCATGGCAGCCATATATTTTGTTTTGGTCACTCTTTCTGGAGCCCTCGGTAGCACAGTGGGTTAAACCTCTGAGCTGCTGACCTTGCTGACCGAAAGGTCAGTCGTTCAATTCCGGGGAGCCGGCTGAGTTCCAGCTGTTAGCCCCAGCTTCTGCCAACTTAGCAGTTCAAAAACATGCAAATGTGAATAGATCAATAGCTTCAGTGGGAAGGTAATGGTACTCCATGCAGTCATGCTGGCCATATGACTTTGGAGGTGTCTGCGGACAATGCCGGCTCTTCGGCTTAAAATGGAGATGAGCACCACACCTCAGAGTCAGAAATGACTGGATTTTACATCAAGGGGAAACTTTTACCTTATTTATTTATTGTGTCAGGAGCAGACCAAACAGTTGCATTATATTTTTTTAACAAACAAACAGAACACAAAGTTTGCAAGCTTCGTAGTTGATTAAATGTCCTTTGACCAGGATCTGGCCACTTGGAGTGCCTCTGGTGTTGCCGCAAGAAGGTCCTCCATGGTGCATGTGGCAGGACTCAGGTTGCATTGCAGCAGGTGGTCAGTGGTTTGCTCTTCTCCACATTCGCAGGTCGTGGATTCCACTTTGTGGCCCCATTTCTTAAGAGCCCAGTCTGTTCAGYGCCTTCCCAGTCGCCCAGTTTTCTGTGTGCCTAGGGTGGAGTCTCTCATTTGGTATCAGCCATTGATTGAGGTTCTGGGTTTGAGCCTGCCACTTTTGGACTCTCGCTTGCTGGGGTGTTCCCACAAGTGTCKCTGTAGATCTTAGAAAACTATTTCTTGATTTAAACCGTTGACATGCTGGCTGATATCCAAACAGGGAATGAGCTGGAGATGTCAYTGCCTTGGTCCTTTCACTATTGGTTGCTACTTTTACCTTAACCTGAGTCTTTTCATCTGTAATTCACTCTTCTTTTTCTCCGCTACCTTCTACCTTTCTAAACATCATCATACTTTGTCGTGAGTCTCGTCTTCTCTTGATGTGTCCAAAGTATGGCAGCCTCAATTTAGTCATTTTGGCTTCTAGAGAGACTGCAAGCTTGGACTCATCTGTTTGTCTTTTTGGTACTCCGTAGTATCCGCAGAACTCTTCTCTAACACACATTTTGAATGAATTGATTTTCTTCCTCTCCACGTCCATCTACCTCTCCGACTATTGGCAGCCGTACATAGAAATCGTAATACTATGTAACAAAATTTGAAAATGTTCAGTTCCTGTTTTGAAAGTGTCATTTCCTGTTTAATTGTGCAGTCCTTACTTTGAAAGTAGTTGCTCTACTCCGGAAACTTTGTTTGTGTGACTACCACAAACTAGGTTGAATTGGTTGAAACTCGATGAATCATAGAGCTGGAAGAGACCTCATGGGCCATCCAATCCAACCCCATTCTGCCAAGAAGCGGGAATATTGCATTCGAATTACCCCTGACAGATGGCCATCCAGCTTCTGTTTAAAAGCTTCCAAAGAAGGAGCCTCCACCACACTCCGGGGCAGAGAGTTCCGCTGCTGAACGGCTCTCACAGTCAGGAAGTTCTTCCTCATGTTCAGATGGA